ATCACCTCAGCGACCCACTTATATGGACTGGCTTGTGCCTCGACGCGGCGGTGCAGCCAGTTTTCAGTGCGAGTCCCTACATGTTCCTCAGAGATCCTTTTGTTGACCATTGCAAGAGCAATAAGGATTTTTAGGGGCATTATGACTGGGTTAATAAAACACAGCTGCCCCTAAAAGTCCCTCACTTTTCTTGCTGCCTTTTCTCTCTCCCTTCCAAACTTCATTTTTGTGTCTCTCTCCAAACTTTTGAGATCAAACAGCAACATTTGCTGGCTCAGCGAACGTGACTCCAAGCACAAGTTTGGTATCTGTTCAGGCACAGCAAAGGCAGCACACACACACACACACACACACACACACACACACACACACACACGGAATGAGCTGGAGTGACCACAGTGTGTGAAGTTTGACCTTTTTCTGCAAGGCCGGCTCATTTACGATGCTAAAACGGCGAGCTTGCTTTCCAGCATTTATGAATTGTGTATTTATAATGGCGGGCTTTTATTGGGATTGTGGCGTTTTTAAAGGGGGGTTGAATGAGTTCAAAGCAGAATTTCCGAGAAGGAGCTCTCCTTGCGTTTGTTACAAGTTCAGCTTTCACAATCCTCAGCAGCAGCTCCTCTACGCGATGCTGCCTCGCTGACATACGTGATGTTTACTTTAAGAACTGTCTGAACCCGTTGACCCGGAGCGGGACGACCTGGGAATCATAGAAAAAGTCTATTTAAAGTAGGTCTGGAAGCCCGCTAAACAAACGGTGTGTGGAGAATATGAGACAGCCGCGGCGAGAGTAGAAACACACGGGCAGCGCTGAGCAGCAAGCCAGTGGCGAGATGGGTCCGATCGGGCCTTTCTAAACGACGTGAGGGAGGCTTCACAGGCAAAGCTGTTTAATATCAGCTTTAATCAGCCGACTTGGTGACTCTCCCAGAGCTCCCCGTGCAGCTTTATTCAAACCAGCTCCATTCCACCAGACCTCCCTCCCTGGGCCCTCCGCTCAGCTCGCAGCACTCCTACTTGATTTGGGTTTTTTTTTAATTCCTTTACCTGCGTTGTGATATCTCACAGTGCTCCAGCGAGCCATCTGGACCACTGTGAGGGCAGCCGCATCTTAAAATCGCCTTGAGCAGCAGAGTGGTGTAAAATCCGATACCCATTTAACAGCGTTAATAAGCATTCGGGTGTCAGCTACAGTCTGGAGGAATTTAATTAGAGATTCAGGTTGACCAAAGTGTCAACTTTCCAGCAACTTATTATAGACGCCATGGATGTAATTTTCACTTTAGAAGTGGGGGGGGGGGGACACGGGGTGGGAGTGGGGGGGGGGGTATCTTTACAGTATGCTCCAATGGGAAACAGGCTTCAACACAAACGGTTGTTTTCCGCTTGGTCCTGGAGCTCAACCAGTGTCAATTTAATATAAAGTAATATTGTTTTTGGATAATAAAAAGTGCAGGGGTCATAACTTGACTTTGGAAAATTGGGGGGGGACATGTCCCCCCTGTCCCCCCCCCCCCCCCCCCCCCCCCAAAATTACGTCCATGATAGACGCAATAAGTTACAGCAGGCTCGTAAAAAACAAATACCCTGCCACCCATGTGTTATACGCCACCCAAAATAAGCTCTGCTTATTAGCGTCAACAGCCCAATAAATAAAAGTGGCAGATCAGCAGCAGCAGCTATTGTGATGTGGATGAGGTGGGGTCTGATTTCATTTGCATGAGCGCTTTGGGCGGTCTGGTTGTTTTTAAAATAAGAATCCCATGCTTCAGCGAATGTCTTACCTATGTGTCACTTGCAGCAGGAAGATGCCACCATGGCTCTATTAATTACATAAAGCATCTCGTGTCAGGATGCTGAATTCATTAGTGAGGTATGTGCAGCGCCGGGGTCGGGACGGATATAGACCCAGGCCTCCAAACCTAACTCCTCCACTACTTCACACACTTGATCCATCTCAGAATTTGGCACTTTAGGATTTTTCACAACTCCTGATTTTTAAATCCTTTAGGTTCACCTATTGCAAGTTTAGCTCTTGTTCGTATTTATTATTAATGATGGATTTAACTGCACAGAAAAACTGCAGCTAATGTGAAATTCATTTAATTTTAGATGCACTTAAAAACTTCATATTTAAATTTTATTAGAATTAGTTTGAAGCCGCTTTGAACCTTTTATGAAAAGGTTTAGAACATTTGTAATTTTAAGTTAAGATCATTAGTGCACAGATACCCGAGTTTAATAAAAACATTATTTTATTAATAAGTGTTCACCTGCTCCAGTGTTATGGGACATTTCGGGACTGGATGTTGAAATACAAACTTTTTCCAACTAATTTTTTTTAATTTTCGCCATGTTTTTTTTATCAACACTAAAGTCTATTAACATTTTAAATAATAACATTTTTATACCTATGACGTCAGTTGGTGTTCAAATGATTTAACCTGCATCGATTTATTACAACCCTACAGATTAAATTGGACACTGAGTTGCCGTAAAATTAAAGCGTAATCCTGTTTCCTCCCTCTAACAAAGACGGAAGTTTTGCCTTTGCGTTGTGGGTCACGTGGGCCAGAAACTGGGACTTTGTAGGCCAGTTGAATGAACTGAGGACTCACCTTGCCCGCAAAGACCCAGCCTCTGACACACACACACCGTCAGATCCTCCGCAGCCAAACGTTCATCCTGGAATAATCCTCAGGTTTGATCATACGTACCCGCTGAAGAGCTGCCTCTCCCGGCCGTGTGAGCCTACCTGCGCCCCGGACAGGTGTACGCATCCCGCAGCCAATGGGGGACTTTCACGCATGAGTTAAAAAAAAAAAAAAAAAAAAGAGGCGACAGTCTGGAGGAGACCGCGTCTGCGAGCGAAGTGAAACTTCACCTCCTGCTCCAGCTCCAGCTCCACCGCCGCCCCATGAGTGATCGCTCGGTGTTGCGCACGTTCTAAATTGAGTATCCTTTTCCAGGGAGGGGGATTGTCTTTAGGAAGGAGTCGGACAGTCCCCCCTTCCTCCTCCTCCTCCTCCTCCCACTCCACCCTGGCCCATCTTCTCCCCCGTCTGTCCAAGAAAGAAGGAAAGAAAAAACATGCAACAGTAGCGCCTTGCACCACCTCTTGCCTTCTCTTCCTTCAGAATTAAAAATAAAAATATGAATAAGCCGTCTGCATGTTTTGTTTCTCTCCTGCGCGCGCCAGTCTGTCACCCAGTTTCCATTCTAGAAAAGAGAAGAGACAGGATCCTGCTCCCGTAGCCTTTACGAGCAGGATATTCCCAAACAGCTGGAAGGAGGTGATATAGGTTGCGCCCTCGTGTTGGCTGGGCCCTTCCCGAACCAAAACGGACCGGTACTAACCTGGTTATTTTCAGAGCGCTGCTGGCACGTCTCCAACCGAGTTGAGTCGGGGGGCGCAGCGAAGGAGCCCCGCATGAGCAGCTGAAGAAAGAGGACCTAAAACCCAGCAGGAGCACTAGAGAGTAATGTCCGAGCATGTGCCTCTCCTCCTGCTTCTTGCGCTGCACACACATTCCTGCGGTGGTGCGGTGGCTGACCCGTCCGCACGCCCCGCTCAGAACCGGACCGATGCCACCGGGGCGGCTCGTCTGCGCCTCCGTTAAGGTGTTCCCTTCTTTTATTGATTCCTGTGCAGGAGACTGGATCCATCCCAGGTTCATCGCACCTCTCTGCCGTTATCTGCCTGACTCTGGAGCAACATGTTGGTGCACAGCGACCTCTGGTGGCGGGGAAACGCCACGACACAAACGCGCTTAACATCATTACCAGGTTAAATTAACCTGAGTAAATACAAAACACTGTTTAAAACGATTATGTAATTTACTATGAGAATAACACACGTGGCTCAAAAGTAAAAAAAAGTGATTCCTCCTTCGTTAAATCCTGAATTATCTGTTATTATCCACATTATGTGGAAAGTGAGTTTAGTTTGACCCCTCACACCCAGACCTGATGCTGTTGGCTAAAAAATCGTATTCCCAATGTAAGAGCAAAAGAAGCCAAACCAACACCTAAGGACTCACTTGGTTAAGGTCAGCAGTCATTCAACTAATAGAAGGAGACTGGGGCAAAGATTCCATGATGTGACACCTCCACAGACCATGAACAACACAAAGACCAAAAAATGTACATCTTGATGATCCCCAAACGTCTGAGAAATCATTCCGTGACTTACAAGACCAACGATAAAATGATCCACACACGTATAACACATTTCAGAGTCAGACGACGCAAAATGCTTTCCACTGCATCACTCATATATTCACATGCTTACTGTGATGAACTACATCGTAGCCATGTTGCCCTGGGATGCACTGACAGAAGTGAGGCCGCCGAACACAGGTGCTACCAAAATGCCTTCGATTACCGCCAGCAGGGAAGGTAAGTTAAATACCTTGCCCAAGGACACAGCTGTAGAATTCTCTGCTGGGAGCTAGAGTCGATCCTACAATTCTCCGATTACTGGATGACCGGCTCTACCTCCTGAGCTACTGCTGGCCAAAAGCAGAACTTTCCAGAAGGTGTGTTTCCTGTTTGATCTGGTTTGAAATTATCACTAAAACATCATACCTGCAGCCAAGCATGGTGGCGGTGGTGTGATGGTCTGGGGCAGCTTCGGGCCCTGGACCACATGGAACCACGCATTCTGCTCTCTAAGCAGAAAACCCTGAATGAGAACCTTTGACCTTAAAGCTCCGATCTTCATAGTGAAAAAGTGACTTAACAAGAAGAGTGGTGATATTCCTCCACAGTGATGTGAGACTGACTCATTTACCACAAAGGCTCATTGTAGTTGTCCTCACAGCTGTTACAACCAGATATTAAATTTAGGGGCGACTTATTTTTACCGTTGCACAATTATATTATCTCTGTGGTTTTTATTTATTTATTTATTCATTGTTTTCTTCTCATTTGGGTTACTTTGATTCTGTTAAGCAACTGGTTGACTTAGTTTTTTTTAATGAGAAACATTCTCTTTTTTTTCTTTCGTTCATTCTTTCAAGAACTTTTCAGCTCTTAAGATATCAAACATTTCAAAAACTAGGGGAAAAAAGACATAATTGAAGATGCAATAAATCAAGACATCATCACAAAAACCACACACCTTTACTCATTTTAACCGCCGAATTTCCTTTCTTCATTTGTGAAACTGTGGCTGCTTTTTGAGTTAAACACGTTTACAGCACAAAGGAAGTTGGGCCCGTGAATTATATCCATAATAGAAGAAAACAGGTTAGTTTGTTTACATTAGTTTAAAAACATTTCTAGAAGTTATTGTGAAAAACTCAAGAGGGAAATTAAATCACAACACCCCTCCCCTCAGTCAAAAAAAGTGAATGATACCAATAGAAATGGCAAAAATGTTGTTTCTGAAGGCAACGCTGACCTTTCAGTCCTGACAGTCATATGGTTTCAGTCAGCTGTTTGATTTGAAGATGTCGTTTTTCAAAATAAAACCTTGATCAATTAAAAAAAATCTTTCCGTTTAAATAAGCGCAGTATATTTCACACGTTATATTTTGTTTTCTTGTTGTTTTTTTCTTCTTTCAATCGCTGACAAGTTGCTGTCAAACTGTTAGCGTTGTGTAATTGTGCAATGTTTATTCTGAAGGGCACAACCGGAAACGAAACGTTTAGCTAAAGCTAACTTCCTTCCTAGCAGCGCTAGCTAGACGCGAACAGGTACTTTATCCCCGCTGCGTCGTCGGAGCATCATGTAATACCTGGAAGGTGTCGGTGAGGTCCGACTCGGTTCGTGAACCCGTTAGTTTTTGTTACAGCCGGCTTTAGCTTTGGTTTCCGACTCGGTTTCTTCTTCGTTCCACTTAAGTCCTGTAGCTAGGGTTCCGGTTCAAACGTTGTGATGTCGGATGCTTTCTGACCCTGCTGAAGCAAACGCAGCACCACAAGGGTGTGGAGTTCAGTTATGGATCAGAATCATTGATTAAGCCTGATGACGTCAGGGGGTTGAGTGAAGCAGGCAAGAGACAGCGGGAGATGGGGCAGTGCAGCAGTGTTTACTAAAACAGGTAAACAAAAAACAGCTGATCATGTACACTTGCTGAAAAGAGCACGTGGTTGTTTTTATACTGATGCATTAAATGTCTCTTTGATTATAGATCTATTCATGTAAGACTAAGGTAGAATCATCATTTTATTTTTGCTACACATTATTAATGTAAACTCTTTAAAAACAGTTGTTTTGAAAACAAGCTAAAGCTGCCTGGCATAGTTTTTTTAATTCTGTTTTTATTAAATTTCCATATGAATGACAGATTGTGTTTTTTACCTCCTACTTGGTAACTAATGAACAAACCACAGTGATCAAATACAGAACACAGATGAGGAGTCTAGTTCTGAAACAACCACAGAAAGGATCAGGAGTATTTGTGTGTTTTTTTTATCTCTCACCCTCTCCTCCTCCACCCGACTGTAGGAGGTCTCAATGGTCTCCCCCACCGTGAAGGCTGTGGTGGATGCTGTCTGGGCCGTGTGGAGCATCGGGGCCTCCATCTATGACTACATCCACACCAAAGCCATGGAGGAGCGCATTCACACCCTGGAGAACATCATCACCGTCCACCAGTGTGTGATCGGGCTGCTGTCGGCGGGCGTGCTGGCGCTCTTCACATACATCCTCTTCAGGAAGCTCTAAAGCAGAAGATCTGGAGCTCCACATGAGGGGTTAACGATGGGTGCATTGAAGGAGGTTGGGTTTATGTGTCGGTGGGCTTTCAGGACTCATCGATCCTACGATGAGAAACTCATCTGCACTTTTGTTTGTTGAAGTGGTTTGAAGGGAGGAGGATCTGGTGAAATGGGACATGAATGTTTTATTTCATCACTTGTTGCTGCAAAGCACTTTCACCTAAATATGGCCGCTGCAGCAATAACTAACCATATTCCCAGATCCTCCACTGAAAGGTGATGATAGAAATTGAGTCACTAACATGCACTACAAGCACTAATAGGTCCCAGCTGGTGGTCTTCTCTAGACTGGACCAAAACGACTAAAACTCCACAATTCCTCAGGATAAGTCCTGGATGGAAGCAGCATAAATAAATACAATTTCCTCCTTTTTTTACATCATTGATGTGCCGCACGGTTTTATCAGTCAGTGATGTGTGACAGATCGTAGATGCAGCATTTATTCACTCATTTCATTATTTTCATTTATACACCAAACACCATTTAGAAGGTGGACATCATGAGTATTACTCCAGGTTTTCTAGGCTGAAGCTGTTTACACACCTGAATCATTCTCGGGTAATAATCTGATATGACAGAGCTTACGTCATCACTTTTTGCAGAACACACTATACTTTAAATACTGTTAGTTTTTACACCAAAATGTATTAGATGATGTGTTTTTTATCTACTTTGACTCACTCTGCAGCCTGATCAGTCTTCTGTAGACTGTTAATGAGTCAGGCTTCTATGAGTAATATTAAGTCCTTAATAGGGATATGTATTTTTGAAATTCTGGCGATACGATACATATCACGATGCAGGGGAGATGATACGATACATCACGATATATTGCGATACATTCAGTCAGACGTAACAAGCAATTTTTTTTACTGAATTTATTGTAAGAACGTTCAATAAACAGTCCAAACTGATACGTAACATGTTTAACATGAGGTATCTGAACCATGATGGAGGGATTTACATTTCAATGGTGGAAACAAAACCCGCTGCACACTGCTGCTAACTAGCGGGTGGCGATTGAATTGCGCAAAACGAAAAGAAAATACACCAAAGTTTGCATGTAAATTCCAGTGTTGGGAGTAACGTGGTACAAAGGTAATTAATTACTGTAATGCATTGCTTTTTGCTGTAATGTGGTAATGTAAGGCATTACAGGGAAAGAAAATGGTAATATTTACTCGGTACAATTGTCAGTAACGTGGTAATTACGATGCATTTTTAAACCCAGAATCAAGCTGCGTTTCTTAAAAATTCAAATTGCGGGAAACCCGAAAAAAGATCCAGTATCTGCATATATGATGTCATTTATGGACTCAGCTTTGCAGGCAGAGAGGACGCAGCGGTAACGGCTCAAATACTCCAGCTGCGTCCTCCTTGCGGCCGCTGTAACATTCACAAAATCGCTCCACTAAAACAAAATAATTCACTTGCGATCGTTCATCAGCGCATGTTCTCTGGTATTCTGTGCTTTTCTGACGTGCTTTGCCTCAGCTGAGTTAATCTGGGCCCCGGTGATTTCAACTCATTGCTGCTGGAGCGCCACGCATGTGTAGATCCCTTTGGCTGACTAGTTAGAAAGTAGGAAATCTAGGAAATGGTTTTTCTGGAAGACGGAGAAAACATGCAGCATGCAGGAAGGTTAGAGAGAGAAAGGGCCGGAAATGATTCAAATAAAATCAAGAAAACAAAACAAAGGGCTTGAAAAGAAAAAAGTAGGTAGATTTATTCCCAATACACATTTTTACCAGTGAAAAGCAATAATATATAAGCATTTAATATTTATACATGTGATAGAATCAGATCACCCCAGAAGTCAGTCCCACATCCAGGGCCGTATCAAGGCATTTGGGGACCAAGGCAAATATAGGCTTGGAGCCCCCACCACCTCACTCCCTGCTCAGTTAATCTAAGATGGCAGCGTGCTGAGAGTACAGATTGTTGTTGCTTTTATTTCATAAACAATCCTTCTAAAGAACTGTTTTTAACAGCAATCCTAGCTCAGACATCACATCACCTTCCACTGGATGTGTCATGAGTTCACCAGGTATCAGATTACCAAACTCCTACTGAAGTTGTTTTGTTGAAAGTAACTTAGAGTAATGCAAAAGTAGTGTAATGCCTTACATTTTAAAATCAGTAATATTGTAATGTAATGAATTACTTTAAAATGAGGGTAACAAGTAATAAATAATGTATTACAGTTTTGAAGTAACTTGCCCAACACTGGTAAATTCTTTGAGGAATTAGATACACGGCTTTTGAATATCGATGTAATAATCGCAGGAACAAATATCACGATATATTGCCATATCGATATTTTCTTACATCCCTAGTCCTTAAGGACTTCTATTGACAAAATGTCCTTTTAGTTACCTTATTTAGATGCTAGCAACTGGGTAGTTGTTTCTTTTGAAGGAAAGTTTTCATCACTTAACATCATCATTAGTCTTTGTGATGAATATTTTGAGTTTTATGAGGATCAGATGGAGGAAAGCTCTCAGGAGCGGGGGTTGGTTTAATAATACTGTAACAGGATGTAATGTTATACCTCTGTGCAAATGTCACTGCTCATTCAAGTGTCCTTAAGCCTGTGAATCTGTAGCTAACAGATGTTTATTAGTGCTGCTGCTCGGTTTGATTGTTTCTTCACAAGAGGCTCTGATTTCAGTGAGAATACTGTTGACTAACGCTGGTTAGGTCTGTTTACTCTGTCAGTGAGAACTCCACGTGTTCATCTCAATAAATGTCATGTTGCTGAGGGACCGTCACCATAGAAACAACCTCGGGTTGAAGACTGTTTTATTATGACATCATGAGACACCGTTTCATCACAATAACTGTTTAAACTCCGACGCTTCCAGGTAGAAACAGGAAGTGATCACAGGCAATAGGAACGCTGCTCTGATCCAGAACCACTTCAGGGATCTTCTCACATCCAAACTCCCGACTGGCCTCAGGTTGGAGAAATAGTTTATTTTTCAGGACTGATGAGCTAACGGCTAGTCTGAGCACCAAGCTGGCCACGGCCCTCTAAAGAACATAAGTCTTGTTTTGTAATGTGGGCTGATTCTGATCGGATGATTAGCACGAACATCATCAGCAGCAAAGGGGTCAAGTCCAGCGGGAATCTTTTAATATTCCCGTGGGAATAACTGGGTGAGGTTACAGTGATTGATGTTTAAAGGTTTCTTTTACGACGTTGGATAAGCTCCTCGTCGAGCTTTAATCTTGGCTATGCTCAGACTAGCCGTTAGCTCATCAGTCCAGAAAAAACTGTCAAAACGTCCCAAAAATCACCTTTAGCACAACAAACGTGGCTAAAACGTTGCACCTGAAGGCAGGTGAATAAGTCAGGACCAGGAGGAGCCACAGCTGTGTATCACCTGGATTTACAGGTACGTGAACGTCTGTCAGGTATCATGCTGTAAATGGTCCCACATACACACACACACACACACACACACACACACACAGCTGCATCACAGGTGTCCGGTCTGCAGCAGAGTGTATCTGGAGGTGAATCTCCCCACACTCTCCCCCTCCAGGAACTTCATGGCTCTCCAGTGGATCTTCCCACAGTTTTCCGGCCGGCCGAGCGGTCCCAGCTCCTCCTGGATGTACTGCAGCCACAGATCTTCACAGTAACAAAATCAGCAGAGTTAAAGTTTCTAATAATCGTTTCTCTTTGTGAAACAAGTCACATCAACAGGAAGAGTTTGTACAGAGCGTTTTGCTCATCTGTCTCTAGAACATGAAACTAAATAAGTGAGAACCATTTTTATTGGTCGTTCCTCATGAAAGGAATACTACCCACCATCATCGGAGGTGCCAAACTCCTGCAGGGCCCTCTCGTAATAATCCCTCAGATTGTTGATCTTCGGAGTTTCCTGGAAGAACAAACACCTTCAGGATCATCTGGTCCCATCAGTCCAACCAACAGAGTCATAATTATCCCGACTCTTCTCCTGGAACACCTTATGTTCCATAAACCTCAGCCACGTGATGAAGAAATGGGAAGGGGCTGATATACGTACTTGCTCCTTCTCAACTTCAATCATTCTAGTGAAAAGGCCCTTGGATAGTGGGCGGTTTTCTCGTAAGCTACAAAAAAAAAAGAGGAAGATGTTTCACCACAAGCAGAGACGACTTAAAGCTGCAGAACAAAAGGTTTCATAGCTTCTAAAGTGTAATTCTGCACGTTTGTTTTTAACGACGACACCTTAGAAAGGTCTTCCTTGCTTTTTTATAGCCTCCAGCTGAGTAGGACCAGTTAAGGTAGCTCTCTTTCATCTCCATGGCAACGGTCGTGATGGCAGACTGGAGCCCTGTCTGAGAACAGAGTAAACTGTGTGGGAGGTGTTGTCCTTTAACGTGTAAGTTGAGTGTCGAAGGCGTACCTTAAAGATGGCTTCCGTCTCCTCGGGTCGCTGGTTGGCCGTGCTCCACTGGATCTGCAGCTGCCACAGTGGAAGGCTGTCCTGTGAACACCCCAGGTGATCGACACTCATGTCAGAAGCACACACCGTAGCTCATGGTGCACAGTTACTAACTCGGAGACGAGATGAAGCACTTGTTGAACATGCTAAACCCACATGTTCTGTCGCTATGATGCTAACACTCTCTCTGTGTGTGTGCTGGCTGTAGGCCTGCAGGTGTGGGCATTTAATAATGGAGCTTATTCAGAGCATCAGCCAGCGATGGAGCATGAGACCGATCCAAATGGTAAATGGCCTGTGTTTGTATAGCACCTTCTTAGGATTCTACAACCCCCCAAGGCGCTTCACAACACAGTCAGTCATTCACACGCTGGTGGGGATGAGCTACGATGTAGCCACAGCTGCTCCGGGGCGCACTGACAGAGGCGAGACCTGCTTAACACTGGCTCCACCGGTCCCTCCGACCACCACCGGCAGGCAAGGTGAGTTATGTGTCCTGCCCAAGGACACAACAGCAGCATTCTCTGGTCAGAACCGGGATCGAACCTGCAACCTATCCGATTACTGGCCAACCCGCTCCATCTCCTGACCTGCTGCTGTCTCCTTGATGTTTTACTGACGTCCGTCTACGTGCTTCAGAGGTCCTCCTGTTGTCTGCATCCAGCCTGGATGGCTGCCCCTCCCGTCTTCCTGATTAGGGTGAATAATTACCACCTCTGTGCTTTAGCTTCAGCATCTGAACTAGATCACACCCACGTGTACAGAATTATGTGTCAGAACACACACGGAGGTTTTAAACTAGCCGTTAAGAGGAACAAATCCCATCTCCTGTGGGGAGTTCTCTCCTCTCGTGCAGAGAAACGTGAACACACGAGGGTTTTCTACAAACCCGACTGAAACCCAGCAGGAGCGTGCCCCTGCTCCAGCGTTAGAGTGGAGTTAATCCTGCTCAAGAGCTGCAGGGTTGGGAAACCCCACCACAACAACCAGCCTCCTGTTCACAGCCACAGACGCCTGGGACTGAGTCTAGAGGTGTGTATCCGTAGAAACACACACATTAATCTCTGTTATTAACAGCTCATTTTCAACCCGTTCTCCTCCGTCCACACATACAGAGGAAGCAGTTTGGGGAGATGGATCTGATGGAATAGAGACTAACTGGGCCAAAGAGATGACCCGGTTATCCAGGTGTGTGTGTGTGTGTGTGTGTGTGTGTGTGTGTACCTTGGGATTAACATGTGTGAGGGCGTCCTGGAAAAGCCTGCCCACGTCTCCGCTCCCCAGCTGCATTAGCGCCTGCAGGCTCAGACACCACACAGACACCGACTGGCTGTAGCGCTGCGTGGCTGCCATGGCAACGCCCGCTGCTCCCTCAGCATCCTCCGATGACAGCAGGATCTCCAGCTGGTCACACAGAGATCATATTGTGTTTTAACCAGCGTTTAGAGTTAGCGTGACTCTTCTGACCCTCTCCAGAGCTCTCCTGGTGTCAGGGAGCACACAGGTGTAAGCCACAAAGGGTCCCTGCTACAGACCCGGTGGGTCACAGTAGGCTGAATCCAAGCAGATTAACAGAAAGATCAGTGGAAGAAAAAAAAGTGGTAGGAAAATGTCCTCGAGCTAAATCCAATGAGGAATTTGGGGTGGGGGGTTCCTGTCAATCCACTTTGGGACCAGAGACAAAGGCAGAAGGCCTGGACTGATGCTCAGTAGTCCAAAGCCCTTTATTCAGATGGAAGTAGACTCTGCAGGTCATTTGGAAACCAAGGTCCCCGAGTCTGTAGGGAGAGTAGAGAGGACCAGAATCTACGTGGCTTCAAGCCCCGTGGGACGTTTCCATTCAGGGACGACTGCTGGCGTTGGTCCACTGGGTCTTCTGAAGTCCACGTGCACCTACCCACGCTGCCAAAGGGACCTCAGCAGAGCCGCAGGCTGACGGGCAACACTGACACGGCCTCTGATGCAGGAAATCATCCACAAGGAGGCTCAACCAAGTACTGATGAACAGGGATGAATACATCTTTAAGAAGCCTGATTTTTCTGTTTAAAATATCTTTTTATTGATCTCATGGAAGTTTATACTTTTGGGTTTTCTGATATTTTCACCATAATCATCAGAATGACGAGAAACAAAGTTTTAAGTGTCACCAGGGTATCTGCAGGTTTAAGGGAGCCAAATGTAAGACTTTTTAAAGGCCACTTTGACCAAATTTAAGCTATAATTTTCAGCTATTGCCTGATTAACCATCCTGTTACCATTAAACTTGCACTTCCCCATGGCGCAAGCTCCCACTAGCTTAACCAGCTAATGTGCTCATCTAAAAATAGTCCCCCTTCACAACCAACTGAACGTGTACGGTTCCGCTTACGGCAACATCGTACTCAAAAAACGCTGAACACCAACTAGAAATTCACGAAAATTTTATAGAAATAAAAGAATCTTGTTTATTGGGTAATTTAAGACTTTTGGAAACTGTATTCAAGGATTATTTGTAATTTTTAAGGATTTTTAAGGCCTTAAATTTAGAAAAGCCAATTAAAGGCTTTTTAAGGACCCGCAGATGCCCTGATTGCACACCGAGTGGCATAAAACTGAAAAGTATCTGAGTTTCTCTGAGAATCCTGCTAAAACCCTTCAGAAGCTCCTGCAGCCGGTTAAAGCCGGGGTACACTGTGCGACTTTTTCACTTTTTTGAGCCGATTTTCCAGTCGTGCGAGAATCCACGACATCGGGGCGAGTTTTGCGCCGAGCGTCGTGTAGTGTACAGGGGGTTACGAGAGGCGATTAACACCACGTGACCAGCTACCGATCAGCAATCGTGAGCTCACACGAACTTCTGGAGTGTTTAATATTTTGCTCGTCCCTCGTGAGGGTATCGCACTGTTGAAGCGGCGCTGCGAGCAGCTGCGACCCAAAAAGTATCAGAACCGCTCACGGCGCATGCGCAATCCTGCATCAACGCCGCTCGCCCGCTATTTCCCTAATAACACACGTTGTTCGTTTTTGTTTCTACACGTTTTTTTACTCACAAAGATTGTCAAGAAAGCGTGTTTGTCGTGTTCATGTCAAATTAAACTGATCACAAAACACAGATTTACTTTCTTTATTTCGTTTTCCTCATCCAGCCCCCATAAATCCCTGTGTGTCCTCCTGCAGCACTCCCGAAGGACAACAGGCAAGACAAAAAAGTCTGACGTGTTGTGTAAAATCTGCTATTTTTAGCATATTTTTAGGGCCGACGTGTTGCTACCAGACGTACAGTGTGAGCAGTCTGGTCGCATCCGAGAACTGGGTCGTGTAGTGTGAGCGCATGACTCGTGAGATCTGCCCTGCGAGGAAGTCGTACAGTTTGAGCTGAAGCTGAGTGCTACGAGTGGAAAAAGTCACACAGTGTACGCCCGGCTTAGTGGCGGCTTAAGGCCAAAGAAACATCCAGCATTCGGGGTTTAACCAGCAGCTTTAGAGGAAATAACAAAACAACACTGTTACTGGTTTGTAAATCCTTTCAGTCAAACTCTTTATTAGATAAATATTCAGCTTCGGGGTTGGGCGCGATGCAGATTTATTTTATTGTGCTTCATTTGCACAGAATGGAAAAATTCTCAAGAATAACCAAAGATGATAATGATTTGGTTAAACAGATTTACGTATCTGGTGCTTTACGGCTGCAGAAAGCTCCACAGGAGTCTTACCCAGTTCCTGTAATAGTTCTCCTTCAGCAGCGAGGAGTCGTGGGCTCGTCTCAGAACTCCCAGCATCCTCTCCTGCCTCTGCGGCACGAAAACACAAACATCTATCAGGATTTGCACGGCGTCCGACCCAAAAAAGGGGCTAAAAGCATCAGACACCTTCTCCTTCAGCTCCTGAACGTTCGTCTTTCTCTTTAGTCTCTCCAAGCAGAAGGCCACATAGCACGTCCACATGGGCTCTGTGAGGAAACACACACACACCCTGGTTCATTCTCTCACTGCATGAAAGCTGACAGTGTATTATATTTCTATTATAAATGTTTATAATCCCAACAGCGAGCGTACTTCCTGAGCTCCCACCTGTGCCGAGGCTCCTCAGGCCCTCCTCGTAGACCTGGCAGCAGCGCTCCTCTCTGCGGTCGATATCCGAGGCTCGGCCTCTGGCCGTGTGGAGCTCCTCTCCTGCTCCCGGAGCCTCCAGCTCCCTCTTAGCCATGAAGTCCCACGTCACGCTGTCGTCAGCGTAGTTTTTCTGTAGGCTGGACAGAAAACGAAGGTGAACATGATGATGCAGAAGAACAATTAGAGGTGGTGTCAGTAGAGAGGGCCTTACTCCTGCAGGATGGAGTCCTGCAGGTCTTTGGTGAAGTCAAAGATAGAAGCTATGTTTAGAAGTGAGATGACAAACTCTGCTTCTGTGGGACAAAGAGAAGCCAAGCTCAGCTCATCGACATCGTTTTTACAGAAACGTGTATTTGTACCAATAAAGCTTGGTTTATGCTTGACGCATTCACTTTCCGCGCGGTGATGGGGCTCGCGGATGGAACGCGCTTCACAACTCGCAGCGTTTATGGTTCATGCGGCTTGTCTCTGCGGTGAACCAATATTCTCCCAAACTGTAGGGGGCAGCATGGAGCTCTACGGCATGCATCCAACACTACACCATAGTAGAAGTAGAAATTACTGTTTACAACATGGCATTTCAGGATTTTTAACAGCGTCCTCGTCTTTTCCGACAGTGCGAGCTATTTCTCTCCAAGAATTATTAACAACATGTTGATCACGGTGATCTCTGAGAGCTGAATCATACAAATGTCTGTATTTACGAACCTCTGCCATACTAGTTCTTGCCGGTCCGCCATGTTTTTCCACGTCCGTCCGTCCGCGTGGTTAGAAAATTTCCTAGGTGTGCGTTGCGGAAATCTTGGGCCGTGCGGAGACGCGGTGGAGGGGCGTGGTTGTTAAAATGAGGCAACTTTTCCGCGCGGAGCCGTGCGGACGCGTCAAGCATAAACCAACCTTAACGTTCCTGAGAGTTTACCTCTGATTTTCTCTGTAGCATCTATGTAGACCACCTCAGCCAGCTTACCGTTGAGGATCTCCGGAGAAAACTCATAACCCCCCTGGAAGGAGTCAAAACAACGTCCTGACACGGATCACAAAGGGGCTGTTTGTGTTTGAGCTCAGACTCACCAAGTCCAGATCAGCTTTGTCCAGATCCTCCTTCTGCTTCCTGAGCTTCTCAGAATGCAGCAGCTCCATGCGGAAATACTGAAGCACAGCGAGAGGCCCGATTTAGCGTGCTGCTTCTCAGACAAACACTTCCTATACTGCCTCTTTTACCTCCTGGTAGACCTTCTTGTTGTTTGGGTGAAAACGCAGCGCCCGCAGAAACAGATGCCTGGCACTCTCAGAGGAATCCCGATCCTCCAGCTCACTCTTGGCAGCCATGATCCACAGGGCTGGAGAAATAAATGTGAACGCTGAACCGGGGGAGGGGGACCCCTCGGAGGTGTTTCTGTGTGTGAATGCGGCGTTTGTTTGTACCTGGTTTGTCAGGGTGGATGGCCAGCATAGACGAGAACACCTTGCTGATCTGTCCTTTGGTCGCCTGATGAGTGAAGTCCCCCCACCACCACCAGAGATCAGGGTCAGAAAACAAAGTTATGTCGTTGTGAGCGGAAAAAAAAACAGATCTCTACGTACCCATTTCTTGCAAAAAGCAACATGTGAGAACCAGAGCTGCACGTCGTCCTGTTAGAACAATAAAAACATCGACGTTTACGTCGGTCTGTTGCACACTGACATATGAATTAAGGCTGCATTCCATTTAGAAGCTGTCGTACGAAACCAGCATGCACAGCTGCAGAACTTGAATGCGGCCGATCACACTGAAATAGCCTAAGCTCTCTCTATTTATAAAGTTATTGTTGCCAAACCAGTCCACCATAATTAACTGTGACCTTGAATTAAAAGAGATATTATTCTCCGCATCTGCTTTTTGTGCAAAAAAAGAACAAAGTCCTTGCTCATATGACGTCTTTGTTTACGAGAAAACAACTTTCTCCTGCTGGGAAACAGATAAACAGTTAGACCCCTCCCTTCCTCACTTCTAGCCGGCTCAGGCACCAGCAACAGGATAAGGGGTGGACATACGGAGAGCTGACTCTCAGCAGGATCAGAGGTTTTTTTTATGAAACGGGAACAAACAGGAGCTAATGTCTTAAAAAAACAACAACACAGATCACTAAAGGCTGTGTGTTTGTTACCTTCCACTTCTTTGTGGCTCGTCTGAAGATGCTGTTTATTCTCTGGATGATGGGAAACTCAATCTCCTCTCGTTTGAACTGGTAGTGGATGTGCTGCAAAAGACAAGCAAAGCAGAGGTAAACCTATTTAAGGAAAGTGAATCGGTCCAGCGGGTCTCCTCAAGAGTTTGGCATCATCCACTTACCGCTCGTCTCTTCTTGATCAGCTCTAAAACATTGATTTCATACTGAAATGTAAAGCAGACACTTTCCTGAGTGGTCTGAACATTAATGGTTCTATAAACCGGGGAGGTGGCTGTGCTTTACCTGGATGTATGCGATTAGGTCCTCCTTGTTTACGGTCAACCGCTGGAGCTTGTACTCCAGAGCTGTTGCTTTCTTTATTATGGATCTAAAACAACGACAGCGTGGAATAATATTAAACCTAAACACCTCACTAAACATCTTCTGGAGGAAAATAACAAAAGGTTAGATAAATACTTTAAACGGTAATAACCAGACAAAAAAAATCTGAAAGGTTCTTCAAAATAACAGACTTATTTCAAAGTCGTGCTTCTTAAACATAAAGCTGCTTTAACCCGCCGTCTTTCCTTTATATGCGTTGCTTTAAAGCAGCCATCTTTATTAGTTACCGTTAAAAGAATCAGTCTTTTACACTAATCTACCCACACTGTGTGGAGACCGCCTTACTTGACTTCTTTCTGGGTGAACAGTCCCACTCTCTCCAGCTGCTCCAGTTGTGGGATTCTGTCCTCGATCCGCTGCTGAACGATCTCCGCCATCTTTTCTCTAACGCTGGAATCAAAGACTCAGACTCCTCTAGCAGGTGGGATTCAGCTCTACAAACAAAAAACAAATGAATTCACATCGAACTGTCACGGGACGGTTGAACGAGGAGAAAGAAACCCTCTCACACACATGGGTGGAAGTTGTTATTTGCGGACTTTTCCGGTTCCGACTTGTTAATGGGTCCGACTAGAAACACAAGCCTGGAAACATTTGTATCGACCTCGAAATATTTAGCTAAAAACTGTTTTTATTTAACAGCGTCAGACAGAATGGTTGTGTGTATTAAAAGTGAAAACCAGTTATCTAAAGGGCTTCAAACTAAGTTTTTGATTTACATGAAAAGGAGGATGGTAAATTGGCGCTCTCCAGTGGAAGTTCTGCTGAACTGGTTCTTATCTGAAGCTTGAAAAAACGAATTACTTTTTCCTTTTTGGGGGGAATAGTAATGAGGAGTAGGGGGTAGAGGGAGAACAGTGATTTACATTCAGAAAATTGTTACTTACTAAGATTGCTTCAAGTGAATTATTTCAAAATAAAACCCTTTAGTGTTTTGGAGTTGGTATTTATGTTTATGGCTAGTAAGAGGAAAACCCGCTCCAACAGTCTTTCTCTCTCGATATTTAGCCCAACTTTTAAAAACGTTATTCATTGTCAGACACAATGGCTGTGTGGATTCACATTGATAATTCCTGCTAGTTTTGAATTGACATGAAATGAATGGGGGGATTTAGCGCCCTCCGGTGGAGACATTTGAAATTTCACCTTGGTTCTGGTGAACACTTAGGAAGAGATTATTTTAGCCTCAGGTGAAAATATCTTATTATTTTTTTATCTTTGGAAAATAAATCAAGACCACCACCTCACCCCTGCCACGTGGATCTCAAGGGATAAACCATCAACCCTGCTCAATGGTCAACTTTCCTCGCGGGGTCACCCATAAAGACAGTGGGAGGTATAAGTGCGTATGTCAGCACCATGTTTCGGCTTAAAGCCAAACTAATTATCCAAGGAACTAATATACACAGTGATCCTATCAAGTATAATTATTTCTAAAACTTTAGATAAAATACTGGCTATGCAGCTGGCCTATAATTATCCAGGTCACCTTCCCAGGTGTGTCCTTAATAACTGGGACCAGCAGAATTCCCATAATTGAGTCTGGTAGTATGCCATGAATCATAAAACCTGTAAAACAAAGAGCCAAAAGGGGAGCTAGTCTTAGGCTAGCACATTTAAAATGTTCTGCATGAAAGGGATCCAGACCACAAGCCTTATGGGTCGTTATATCATTAATAACAGTATCATCCTCATACAGATCACTTTTTAAACAGTTGTACAATGTATATTACTGTTGTCTCCACAATGCTGCAATATTGTCTTCAAACGAAACTGTCCTTTTCTTTTTGGGAATAGCAATAAGAAGTAGGTGGGGGAAGAGGAAAGAACAGTGTTTGTGTTCAGAAAATTACAATAGTTACTAAAATTATTCAAGCGAATTCTTTCAAAATAAAACGATTTGGCCTTTTGGTGTTAGTAACAGGGTAAATCATTCTAACAACCCTTTTCTTTCAATGTTAAAATAATAATAATAATAATAATAATAATAATAATAATAATAATAATAATAATAATAATAATAACTTTCTTTTTTCAACAGTGTTGAACACTACGTATATCTGTGTGGACGCAAAATGGAAACTCCAGCTAGCTAACGGACTTGAAACGAATGATCGGATGGAAGAATGGCGCCCTCTAGCGGGGCATTTTGGTTCTTCACTGTGTTCTGGTGAACCATTTGAGATCATTTCCAAACATCAAACAGCAAATAAAATGCACAACGTGAGGTCTTGATATAAAAGTCAGTAAAAAAATGCTATCTCATTCTAATGTTGGTTGTTATTACTACATTGATTCATTTATTACTAAGCTGTTTGTCATTTATTAATGTGTTTTAGTTGGAAAGACAGAAAAAAACTTGCAAAAATTGAACATTCATGGCAGCTGGAGGCGGAAAAACCATAAATATGACCTTCTATTCGATTTCCCGCAAAATAGCTGAACGTGAGGGCGGGGTGAACGTCATATCCGATGATCAGTGGCCAATCACAGCGCCGCTTTCTCTCACGCTGTCTGTTATTGGCTAACAACTGGCTGCTGCTCTGTTATTCACTTCAAAACTGAAAAAGGCAACAAATCGTTATCATAACACGGATTTATCATAAATGAGTCGGTCGACAGTTTTAAATCCGATTTAAAACCATTTTTGAGGCGGGTGAATGCGGAAAAGCTTGAGTGCGTGAAAACATTTATTTTTAGTAAACTATGCTACCAGTGCTAGCTCTTTAGCCACTGTGTCGTTGGCTCCTCTTCATGGCTTTCTACTGTTGAGTCTGCAGACACATTAATGCCATCAGCCAGGGTGGGTTACCTCTTACTGTGTTCAGTTTTTTACACACCATGAATATTAAGTCTTTCTTTATTATCGAGTTTAAATTCGTCGCTGAAATCCAAACATGCTAGTCCTTTGCTAGCTCGAATGCTAATGGGAGTGTGAGCTTTGCGGCTAAGCTAACTTGTTGTTTTTCCACCACCTGTTCTGATCTGGTTCGTGTTCGTTTACTGTGGTCTCGGTTCCAGAGTTCAGGTCCTATCATGAGCGGGGCGAGCTGTAAAGCTAACGGGGCCGTGTACCCCGCCTCATCAGCGGTGATGAACCCGGTGAAGAAGCCGAAGATGGAGCAGATCCAGGCCGACCATGAGCTCTTCCTACAGGCCTTTGAAAGTGAGATTTCGTTGTGATCCGGCTTTACCCTGGCTTTTGTCATCTTACACTCCTCTCATAACAAAACGGCTTATTTATGTTGTCAGACACAGATATTTAGTTATAACAGGGTAACCGAGGGGGGTGTCACCCAGAATGACATCTGTCTCAAGTACCCCCCCCCCCCCAACCTTTTGTGTAATGGGACATTCGTCAATAATGTCTCAACCTAATCTGATTATATTGATTTCCCAGAACCAACTCAGATCTACAGATTCCTCCGCACAAGAAACCTGATTGCAGTAAGTGGAAAAACTTCATTTCCCCCCTTTGACCTGTTAAACCTGCATGGAACAAACAGTCTCACATGTTATTTTCTTCTTCCCACATTTAGCCAATATTTTTGCATAGAACTCTTACCTTCATGTCTCACAGAAATGGTCGAACAAATGCCAGAAGGTGCGTTTTATTTTGTTATTTTGGGAAAATGTAAATTTTCCTGCAAATGGAGTAGAAACATGTTTAATTACCCGCTTCTCGTCTCACCTTTGATCTGCAGAAAAACGTTCAAAGTGGACGACATGCTAAAGACCGTGGAGAGGATGAAGGGAGAACAGGATTCTCCAAGGTACCTAGATAAGTTCACACTGCGTTATAGAGGGTTTGGCATTGAATAATTGCTGCCTGTTTTTGAAATCAGTCACTGACTAAAGCTTTTTCCTTTAGCTTGTCTTCACATCTACAGCTAACATTCACCGGGTTCTTCCATAAGGATGGTAAGCAGACTGCTGACTGGATGCATCGTTGATGCCGTGTTAATGTTATAAAGAAATAGTAATAATGTAAATTTTTCATTAACATAAAATAATCTGCGGGAATTTGGGGCAGAGAAAAATCAAAAATGGTTCAAGTAACTGAATCGCAGTAAATCTTTGATACTTTCTTTCCTCAACGTGATACAAACAGCTCAGTGATTATGTGTTTCATGGGGGCATTTATCACCGTTACACAACAGGCTGAAACTGAAAGGAAATCGGAGTAAAAGACCGATAATCAAGATCCTTTATGATTAAATCGAACATAAAAGATCTTAAACAGCATAGTTAGCTCTGCATCACTGGCTCATGAAAGGAACCACGAGTTGTTAGACTTGAACTCCACAAAGATTTAGAGAATAATCTGAACTACGATGAACTGGTTCAGGGATGTTTTGGATTGAGAGGGAGGTGGGACCTTTGAGGTCAGGAACACAAACCAGCACCTCTACATCTCAGTATAGCTAAAACTAGGGATGGGTACCGAATTCGGTACTTTTTAAGGTACCGACCGAATTCCATAGTACCGACTGAGCACCGATTCACGTCGTTTCAAACGGTGCCTCGTTTTGGTACCCGTCCTTCATAACGAGAACTTGCCAAGACAGCTGCGCATGCGCAAGAGCGTTATGTCATCGCTCGCTGCGAGCCAGTTGTAAACAGAGCAGCATGGTAGAAAGAACGCACACTAAAGCTTGGGTCCACTTCACTAAATGTGATGGGTAACTGGGTGATGATGAAACCAGCGACAACGATCTAAGTGAGACATCCTCATCTTAATCTGCTCCGGTAGGTAAATATAATTAGCTTGATATGTTAGCTTCCGTTTCGCTAATGGTGCGTTCGCTTTCTCCTCGGAACTCCGAATTTCCGACTAGAAGAACATGAACGCGCTCTAAAGTTTGGCTTCACTTTACTAAATGTGACGGGTGATTGGGTGAAGATGAAACCAGCGACAACGATCTAAGTGTGAGGCATCATCGTTTTAATCTGCTCCAGCAGCTAAATAAACTGTTTAAGATAATGTTAGCTTGGTATGTTAGCTTCCATTGCCATTGTTATCAGCTAATGGTGCGTTCGCATTCTCCTCGTAAATTCTAACTTCCCAGTAGGAAAAATAAAATGAAAAAGGACGGTAAAAGGAATGAAGATACACAGTAAATTTAGTTCACAGTAAAGATGTTTGCTTCAGTTTAATTATCAGCTTGTAAAACTACAAGGACGATGTTAAAATACAAACAGTTGTATGTTATTTTTCGTGATATTTATCAAATATTGTTATATATTCAGAACAATATATATTTAATTATAAAAATAATTAAAATAATAAACACTCAAAAGTATCAAATTGGTACCGTTAAGTACCGGTATCGATTCCTAGGTACCGGAAATTAGTACCGGATCGATTCAAATGTCAACGGTACCCATCCCTAGCTAAAACACACCCATCCAGTATGTTCCACTACCGCTGCACACATAAACCAACAAACATGTTGTATTTAATGATCTGAAGTGCTTTCCTTGTTTTCCAAACAGAAAAGCCATCTCAGAATTCTGAAAACGAACAGAATTCTGTGTCTTTAGAGGTGCTACTTGTTAAAGTCTGCCATAAAAAACGAAAGGTACTGTGAAGTTGAACAAAGATTTGAGACGCGGGTGACTTCTGTCTGCTTGTACTGATGACCGTTTCCTGTTTGCAGGATGTCAGTTGCCCCATTAAGCAAGTGCCTACAGGTAAAAAGCAGGTGCCTTTAAATCCCGACTCTAACCAAACCAAGCCTGGCTCCTGCCCTTCCTTACTCGTCCCCAGCAGTGAGTTTGAGCCCAGCAACAGCCACATGGTGAAGTCCTACTCGCTCCTCTTTAGGATCTTACGCACTGGCAGGACGGAGCCCAGCGGGCTGGTCAACGGGGAAGCCAACGAGAACATCGGTGCGTTTCTGTAGAACTGCTTCATCTTCTGCTTGACCTTTCTAGGAATCGCTCCTCGGTGGACGATGAATATCTAACTCTCTTTGTTTTGTGGTAAGATGTAACAGATACTCCCAGTAGAAGAAAGAGAAATTCATCCCACAGAGAGGAGGAAGAGACCACGGACACTTACATCGCTCAGATGGCCGTCTTTGATAAGAACAGGTAAGCTTTAGTGGCTCCATGGTTTTATTTCCTTCTTGAATTTCATCATCATCATCAAACTTTATTTATAAAGCACTGTTAACAATCAGGTCGATACGTCAAAGTGCTGAAAAGTACACAAAGCCACACTCAAAGAATGAAGTAAAATAAAATCAAGAGCAACCAAACGTTGAGTTAAGATGTTAACTCATTCACTGCCAGCCGTTTCCTGATCACTAACGGCCTTCGCTGCCAGCGTTTCTCACCGTTTTTACTGTTTTTTTAAGAGTCACAGAACGTTGCGCGCTAGCATGATGTCGATGCCAAAACAACTAAAACAAAGAGGAGACTCACCTCTTCCATCAGGAAGAAGCCGTGTGTTTCGAGCGTTATCCGTTCTTTCATAATCCGTTGTTGAATTGTGGTCGGCAGACGCTTTTCCGGTTCGCGCCTCACTTTTTTTTACAGGAACGGCCCAAAACGATCTAACACATGGATGTGTTGCTTCCTGATCATGTGATCCGTGACGTATGTGGATGAAGATCGGCTTCAGGGCTGAGATGTTTGTTCTCTCAGCGCGGGGGCTTGTTCCGATGCTCAAACAGTAAAAAAATGCAAATGACGACTTTAGTCGTCAATGGCAGTGAATGAGTTAATTAGAGCTTTTACAGCAAATCTTCAAACAAGCTTGGTTATGAACGCAAACACGGTCCTGGAATACACCCCTCCCCTCAGGAAGGATATGGGTCCACAGGAACCGGAAACCCATATTGCCAGAGGAAACGAGAGCACGCTAAACACCAGTTGGTGGTTCCTGACAGTCAGTCCGTGACTTCAAATGGTGTTTGTCTTTTTGGGACTCTGGTAGTTTGGCCTTAAGTTGAAGTGGTAGCAGCCGGCTGTTCGTCCTTCTCTGGTGTTATTGAGGAGAACCTCTCACACCAGTGGTGTTTTGTTGCTGAAGACACGAGTGTGTAATGAGTGGAGGACCCAGGGAACTGCAGCGGTTCGGCAAGACCGACAACTGGGTGGTCCAGTGGTTGCTTTCAGTTCGAAGTGTGTTATTGGCTGAGGTTTTTAGACAAATGCGAGAGAACCACTTTATTAATTTTTTCATTCTAAACAATATATTTATAGCTATACTTTGTTAGAATGTTAAGAGGCATAAAACATGTTTTGAGCTTGCTTCTTTTCCAAATTTACTATAACAGCTTTAACCTCGCGACACATTTCTATAACAGCTGCCTAAAATCGCTAAAGTAATAACTTGGTGTGCAGATCACGTAAAAGCATGTGTATGAAACTGTTTTGAGCCTACATCATGAGCTTAGGGGCCAATGGCATTGACAGAATGTTCCAGAGTTTTGAACCAACAGCCCCAATGCCCAATCCCTGTGTAGTTTCTTATTAGATGAGAGAATGACCAGGAGATGCGAGCTTTGGGAGGGGAGAGAAGGAGAAGGTTCATACGAGTGAATCAACTCAGACAAGAATGAAGGCGCCCCTTCATGTAGTGCTTTATGCACAAAGACCAGGGCCTTCGTTCCTCAGATGTTCGCAGAAACTGGCCAATATTTCTTCCTATGAATGTTCGTACTGCCTAGGGTTGCGCGATATTAGGAAAACCTGCGATATGTGATAACAGTGATTAATATTGCGATGACGATGTTACTTGTGATAAATAAAAACTTAACTAAGGAACAAAAATAATCAAAAATAAAAAAAATGACAAATCATAAAAATGAGAAAAGCAAAAGATGTGAGGAAAGGGAAAAAGAAAATGAACAAGAAAAGGTAACCAGTGGATCCCGGGAAAAGCAGAATCAGCAGAACAAAGCTAACTCAGGTGGTTTTCTACAGGAGACTGCAGCTGCTAGACGGGGAGTATGAGGTGTCCATGCAGAGGATAGAGGAGAGTCCCGTGAGCAAGAAACGAGCCACGTGGGAAACTATTCTGGATGGGAAGGTAGGAGACAAGTCTCGGTGTCTCTGGAGGACAGACTCCTGTCTTTGTGTGAAGTTTATCATGAGTTTGTTTTCTTAACTTGACTTCGATGTGACAAAATTCAGAATGTCTTATAAATTTACTGTATGATTGTTAATCCTAATCTGTAATTATAGAATCGAATTAAGTATTTTTTTTTCCAGTTAGGCCTGGGATGATGAGAAGTTTTGCTGGATGATATATTGTCTAACAAGTTATTGACGATCAGCGATATTATTGTCGACATTATTGAGACCAAAATAACCACTTTTGTTATGTTAATATATCATAAAAATGCAAGTACTCCCTTTAAAATACAACAATTAAACCTTTATTTATCATTGGAATGTCCAGAACCACAACTTAACTAAATAAATAAATAAAACAAACAAAAAAGTAATAAATAAAAAAATACTTTCACCTTCTGTTAGAAAATTTTGCACCAAAAGCAATAAAATAGACCCCGTCTCTCCAAAACAATAAATACAATGGCTTACCCAGTGTCAGCAACCAAAACTTCACTTCAGTAATGATAAATAATAATAATAAGAGTTGTACATTTCTTAACCTCGATAAAATGAGGCTGGAAAATTATTGAGTTCATTTTCATCCATGGTACGATTAACTGATTATTGATTACTGTCCCAGCCCTATTCCCAGTACAAACGCACTATAAAGCATCAAGAGTTATTTTACACTCAAACATAAAAGTAAAATCATTTCTAGTCACAAATGGCAGCGCAGAAGTGCTTTATTCAGGTTAAATCTGCAGCAGCTTTATTAAATATATCTTAAAGGATTATAAATGCTTTAATGGTCATGAAGAGTCTTCCACTTTTCATATAATTGTTCAGGAACTAATATTTATGGTGGAGATGTGCTGGTGGGAGTTGGCAGAGTTTATCTCACTTTTTGTGACGCGCTGATTTTGGTTTTATTCAGATAATATTCTCAGGAATATAATTAGCATCACTTTATAGTTGTTGTTGTTGTTGTTTTTTCTTGATCTTGGGTAAATAAAACATGTACTGGAATAAACATCATAAAAAATTCATGATTGTTTGGTATGCCCAAGGTTTAACCTTCAGTTTTTGATTTTATTGTTTCTCAAAGCTATCAGTTATGATTTAAAGCAACACTAAATAAGTTTCCCGCTTCTCCCTCTTTATGGTTGAAAGCCAGATTAAAACCGCTGTAAACAACCCTGTTGCAGCCTGCTGTAGCTAGCACTAACAACGAGCTAATGCTAACACTAGCCAACCGATACTAAATAAGCCATGAAGTAAAACAGTACACACTGTTGGACAAAACATTATACTTTACAAGTCGAGTAGCAACAAAGCCAGGTCACCATCAGTCCGTCATTTCATAGCCTCTTTTAGAGTGTAGGCCGTTCACTCTGGTTTTAGCTTGCTGATTCACCTCTAAACATATTACTCTCTAAAGCTTGGTTTATGCTTGACACATTCACTTTCCGCGTGGTGATGCGGCTCGCGGATGGAACGCACTTCACAACTCGCAGCGTTTATGGTTCGTGCGGCTCGTCTCTGCGGTGAGCCAATATTCTCCCAAACTGTAGGGGGCAGCATGGAGCTCTACAGCATGCATCCAACACTACACCATAGTAGAAGTAGAAGTAACAGTTGTTTACAACATGGCATTCCAGCATTTTTAACAGCGTCCTCGTCTTTTCCGACAGTGTGAGCTATTTCTCTCCAAGAATTATTAACAACATGTTGATCACGGTGATCTTTGAGAGCTGAATCATACAAATCATACAAATGTCTGTATTTACGAACCTCTGCCATGTTTTTCCGCGTCCGACCGTCCGCGTGGTTAGAAATTTTCCTAGGTGCGCGTTGCGGAAATTTTGGGCCGTGCGGAGACGCGGTGGAGGGGCGTGGTTGTTAAAATGACGCAATTTCGCCGCGCGGAGCCGTGCGAACCTCGCGGACGCGTCAAGCATAAACCAACCTTTACATTTACTTCCAGGCTCCACCATGAAGCTACCAAAAAAATAAAATTATTCTTGTTTTTTATTGACAGCCAACCGAAAAAGCTAACTGCTAGCCTTTATATTGGCTTCCAGCACAGTAAACAGCCATTGCCATAAAGCAGGTAGAGGCCTCCCATTAGTGTTCCGACCCGAACCATAAACTGTTGAGTGCAGTTTCAGTCAGCAGAGAGCTACAGAGGGCTGTCCAATGTGGCATTGCTCAAGTTTCTGGCTCAAGAACCACTGAAACCAGTTTGAAATAAATAGCTTAAACACTAAACGCTCTTTTGTGTTGCTTTAATCAGGGTTCGTACGGTCATGAAAAACCTGGAAAAGTTATGGAAATTGAATATGCAATTTCTAGGTCCTTGAAAAGTTCATAAAAAATAATATCCTCTGTAAAGTTTTGGAAAAGTCATTGAAATATTGTTCGGATAATATTTTGGATGTGTAAAATATAAAAGATACAATAGCGTACTATGATTAAAATTTACATTGCCTCAGAAGTGCAACGTGACGCTCTCGCTGCTGCTGTCCGACTCCGTGTGCACCGCCACGTTCGATTTCTGTTTACTAAATGCGTGCACCGCATTGGGCTAAAACGATCACGTGTGAGCCGCGTTACCAATGTATCATTACTCTCAAAACAAACTAGTCCCAAATTAAAACGACGATCGTAATAAAACGGCTTTACCAAAAGGAGGAGAGGTTTACTTTTGAAAAACATATGAATGTACTTTTATGAAGCAAATGGCAAGTGGCCACAAGAGCTCGGAAGGAGATGAAACGAAAATGGGGTTCACCTGACGGCCTATGATGAGTTTACGTTACCGTAAAGTAGGCCGAGTGTTCATTGGTTCATTGTTTGGCGGTGTCTCAACTTGTTATCCAACGTGGATTTTAAAATGCTGCGAAATGCCGGGGAAGTGCAGTTTTAACAACGAGTGGCTTCTCAAGGAGAAGTATCAACTGTGGCTACTGAAAGACCCTGACAAGAAACGCGCAGAATGCAGACTTTTCTCCAAGTCCTTCGATATAAGCGGCATGGGAGAGGCGGGGCTGGTAAGCTACATGAAAGGGAAAAAATCACACAGCAGCTGCCGAACGCTGCAGAAGCCTGTCATTGGGCGAGTTTTTTAAAACAGGCAAAGATGGTGTTAGTGCAGTTTCCTCCGCACCGACACAGACGGTTGTTGATGCAGCGGCTGCAATTTCCACGGCAAGGCAGACAGTCATGGATGCATCTACAACAACAGAAGTTCTCAAAGCTGAAGTGTTGTGGGCATTAAAAGTAATGAACTCTCACTACTCTTACAAGTCATCAGAAGACGTAGCTCTTCTTTCCCAGGCAATGCTTCCTGACAGTCAGATTGCATGTGGTGAGACAAAAATACAGCTATGTGTGCACATATGGACCAGCCACGTATTTTAAGAAGCTGATACTGAAGGACGTGTCGCAACAAACGGCATATGTTGTTTTATTCTATGGAAGTAAACATTTGCAGTCGAAACAAATGGACATTCATGTTAGACTGTGGGATGGACCAGAGGTCAAAACTAAATATATTGGCTCTGAATTTTTGGGACACTCAACGGCGCCGGATATAATTCAAAAACTGAGCAATATTCTCTCCGAGACGGGGCTGCGCAATCTCCTGCAACTGTCCATGGACGGGCCACATGTTCATTGGAACGTTTTTGAACTGACTCAAAAGGAGATGAATAAGCAAGTAGACAAGGAGCTTCTCAACACTGGTTCATGCGGTTTACACGTTGTTCATAACGCATTTAGAGATGGAGCAAAAGCTACAGGCTGGGAAATCAAACACATCCTGTCAAGCCTGTATTGGCTATTTCATGACTGGCCCGCTCGCCAAGAGGATTTTGTTGCCGCAGCTGGATGCAGCACTGCAGCGCTCAAGTTCTGTAGGCACTGCTGGCTTGAAAATGTAAATGTTTCCGACCATGCTTTGCAGCTGTGGCCCCATGTGTAAGCCTATGTAGAGCTGGTGCGCAAGGGAGAGCTACCAAATCCGAAGACTTAATCTTTTGAGGTTGTGAAGAACAGTGCACAGGATCCTCTTTTCGTCCCAAAAGTGATAATCTTCAACAGCGTCGCACCGTGAGACGGCCCTGTTTCTGACGCTGTACCACACGGATAAGCCTATGTTACCCTTCCTCAGCGGAGACATCTACAGTCTGATGAAAGGTAAGCCTTCTCATGTCATTGCACTGTATTATTGGGTGTTTTAATCAGGGACATCATTTGTATTGACTGTTGCAGTAAGAATGTTCATGCTTAAGTTTTATGTCGTTCAGGTCTCGTGGAGCGATATATGAAGGCCCAACAGCTGAAGGAAGCCAACACAATTTTCAAGCTCCTCCAATTTCCACTCCTGGACAGCAGTTTACACAAGGATACCCACAAGGTTAGTAGGGGTGAGACAATACACACAATTAATAATCTTATGCATACCAAGATGCAATGTTTCTGAAATAGGGTTGTCACGGTGTGAAAATTTAACCTCACGGTTATTGCGACCAAAATTATCACGGTTTTCGGTATTATCGCGGTATTTTTTTTTAAACGTGCTACATTTTCACACAATTAAATAAACCCTGTATGTCAGGAAATATTGTCCTCAGTTTGTGTCTAAATGTTGCCTAAAATGTGTTATTTTGTAATTATGTTGTTTGTTTACATTTTTTCCCTTTAGTCTTTAAAATACCAATATTTGCCCATAACTTCTTATTTTATGTCTGTTTGATGTCATCATTTTAGAAATATTAGATCAAATGATACTCAGTACTCAAGTAGCCTTCTAATCAGATACTTTTTACCCTTACTTGAGTAATAAACCCTATATCAGGAAAATGTTGTCCTCGGTTTGTGTCCTTCCAGTGAGCTTTGCAGATTTGGGAAAATGTCATCAGGCAGTAATCGTTGTTAAATTCATAATTATTCTCGGAGAGAGACCAACTCTTATCTGCCCCTGGGAGCCCCGTAATGCATAGCGTCATTTCAACATGGGGGTGTCCGCGACACGGTTTATATGCAGGTAGCGGCGCTGCGGCTGCTTTATATAGCGACTCGTTGCATTCTCCCTCAACCCAAATCCTCGGATCACGCATTTTAGCTAAAACGCTAACGTTAGCTTGCCTTGCGTTGACTGTAGAGTTGTGGGTGATGGTCACGCAGATGTGTCATGAGATTTGAAGCGTTGCTGCCTTTCACACACACTTTTTCTGCACGTGCTGCAAACAGGATAGCCGTCTTCTATCAACTGTCCCTCGGCATTCTTCAAATATCTAAAAGATGCCCGTACTTCCCTTTTTGTCTTCTTTGAGGGATAATAAATGTCCTGAGCACTGCCGTCTCCTCCTTTGGCCGTTATTTCAGCTTTAGCTTCAAGAAAGTTGTGGTTGTAAACAACAAAGTGATGTGCCGCCGACAACTTCAGCAGATGATACGGTGGCTGGTAAGGGTCACCGCGCCTACACCGCAGCCACGGTAACCCCACCAAGATAATATAGTTTTTTTAAAACAAGACGTTTATTATTATTGTCAACTTTTTTATCGGGGTTTACCGCTACACCGGTTACCGTGACAACCCTATTCTGAAATGATACTCCCACAGTGAAATACTCATTTAGTTAGTGAAAAGTGGAAAATATGCATATTAATTAATAGCAAATATCACTGCAATATATCAAATTATAACTGCAATAAAATGAGGCTTGTGAATTCAAATGTTATATTGAACTATTTTACTGTAATTCTACGCACTCAGCTTGCCAAGATTCCTTGTACTTCTGCTGTGAGCTCTTACTCTAAACTCTGCGTGTGATTAATGACACAATGAAATGTAACACTAAATGTATTTTTGATGAATCACTGATTATTTCCTGATGCATAGCCCAAACATTTCACCATTTCGTATTACAATAATTCATAACTATATTTTCACTCATCCCTAAAGGTCAGCATGGGATTTTCTGCTGAAACCTGTCTGAACCAACTGAAATCCACCAACAAGATGTCAGAGAGGCAGGCACTGGAAATCAACAGGGAGTGCAAGACATTCTTGATTACCGTCCTAGGATAAGAGCCCTGTGCAGCATCAGCTTGTGAGAAGTGTGCAGTGCCTGGACCCCAGGAACAGGGCTGAATTCAAAGAGAAGTCATTGATTCAAATGAAAAGGGTGCTACAAAATCTTGTTGCAGCCAGTCGTGTGGATGAGAGAGCCTGTGATGATGTCCTTCGAGAATTTGGACAGTTTTGTGATTTTGCCTCACTTCAAGACCGCTTCAAGAATTTTGATCCCAAAAAGACGGGGTGGACACTGTTCTGTACAAGTCCATGGGAATCACCAGAGCTTTCGCTAATGTGTGGAACTTGGTGAAGATGCTTTTGGTTCTCTCTCGTGGACAGGCCAGTGTTGAGAGAGGATTCTCAATTAATAAGGAGCTGATAGTTGAGAACCAGAAAGAAGCCTCTCTGGCTGCCCAAAGGCTCATTGTTGGCCATATCAGAGCGGTTGGTGGTGTAACAAATGTACAAATCACCGAAGAACTGTTGATATCTGAGTCCGGAGCAAGGCACAAGAACCACAGCTACCTAGACGACTAGAGGAGGGCTGCTGAACAGAAAAGGCAGGGACAAAAGAGAAAAGCCCTGGCAGATGAGTCGGATGAGTTTAAAAGGAAGAAGGTGAGAGCAGAAAGCGACATTGCCGCGTCAGAGAAGGCAGCTGATGAGTAGGCTGATAAAGCCGAATCTACTGGAAAACTGACCTTCATCACAAAATCCAACAGTTTGCGTCGCACTGCCAAAGAAAAAAGCTTCTCTTCAAGACATGGACGAGCACAGTGATGCTACGCTTTCTCAGATGAAGCAGTAAAGGTGGTTACTTTGTGACATGCCAGGAGAGGATATTACAGAGATTAATTTCTCACTATGTTCCAGACTAATGTTCAGGCTCTTGTTTGAGGAGTACAGTGATCCCTCGTTTATCACGGTAGATGCTTTCCAGACCTGGCCGCGATAGGTGAAAATCCGTGAAGTAGGGGCACCATATTTACAGTATTTATTTAACAGGTACGTATTCAGTATTCAGACTTTTAAAACCCTCCCTTTACATAGTACTGTATTTTTACTTGGTTTTTTTATAGTTTTATTACAAAAAGTGCATTTTATGATGAAGTTGATGAAAAAAAACAGGAATTTCTTGATATTTTGCATAGAAAAGTACCGCGAATCGGTGAAAAATACTGCGAATCGGCGAATTTCCCTTGAATAAGGCTCCAAAGAAAAAATCTGCAGTGTCGTGAATCCGCGATAAACGAACCGCAAAGTAGCGAGGGATCACTGTAACATTTAATTTTGCGAAGCCTATTTTAGTTTATGTAATGTGTTATTTTGGTGAAAAGTGAATACACGTAGGGCATTATAACAAAGATCCATTCTACATTAAGTTCAAGATTTTGCACATTTTATGTTTTAAGAGAACATTTATTTTTGGAGAATTTACATTTGTTTTAATAAGAATGTGAGTGCACTTTATTTTTCTTTATTTTTATATGTTTATGCAGCGTAGATACTGGTGTTCCTGTCCCTTAAGCACCTTATGTTCTCCATTTCTATTGCTCTCTGATGGGGAGAAGTCAGACGGTTCATCTGTTAAAACCTTATTAGTGCAATAAATCCTTACACCGTGTATCAAGATGTGTCTGGGTTTGATTTAGAGGCACCAACTACGATGTCCGGCTGAAATGTGTTCATATTTGGTCTTGGAAGTTCAGTGAATGGTTATGGAAAAGTCGTAGAAGAGTTATGGAAAACCATAGCTAAAAAGTGTACGGACCCCGTTTAATTCTTCGGTAACTTGAGGAACTTCGTCTAACCGAGGTGTGACGTAACGCCGCTCCCGTTACTTTCTGACCGTCCCACAGAGACTTCCACCATTTGAGGCGTTTTCTCAGGGACCCACGCTGCAGTTCACACTGCGCTGGACAGGCGACGCTCACGGGAAGTCCACCGCCCCCGTGGCCAAACCCCTGGCTACCCGCAACTCGGACAGCTTCACCCCAATGGAGACCAGAACCAGCCACCACCGCGCCGCCCTCATGAGTAAGAACAGGGTTATGTTCTTTATCAGACCCGCTGGTTTAACCTGTCAGCTCGGCTTTATTGTCCAGCTAACCCAGCATGAATCTTTTATCTGTTATATATATAAACATATATTCTTGGTTAGCAGGTGTTTGATTTCACGTTTCCTGTCCGAGGGGACCAGTGTCGCATGTTTTAGACGTAACAGGATAACGCAGGTTTTTGTTTTAATTCTTTGTGATGTGTTTCTCTGTTGCTGCCAGCAGTGAAAGAGTCGGTCCGCTCAGACATTCAGACGAGGAAAGAGCTGGTCCCAAGTGAGCCGCGGCAGAAGCTACGCATTTTTTATCAGGTACACCTCCCTACAGACGAGGAGCCCGTTAGGGCCGGGTCGTTGGATTACCAGAAGCTTTTACTAGATTGCAATGATCTCTGGTGTTTTCTAACCCAGCTGCATGTCGGCATAGTTGGTAGAACTGTAATGCACCAAAGGTCACAAGCTCAAATCCTGGGCGTGTCCATTCGGCATGGTTAGTTAGTATGTTCTCCTCGTGCTTTTTCTTCCTACTGACCAAAAACATGCACGTCAGGTTAACTACAGACTCAAAATTGTCCCTGTGGTGTGAGTGAGTGTGTGTCTGGTTGTTTGTCTTTGTGATGGACAGATTTGTCCAGGGTGTCCCCCAACTCTCGCCCGATGAAGTTAGACACCACAGCTCCCATGACTTGGGATGGGTGCCGAATACAGCATTTTTTACGGCACCGATCAAATTCCGTGGTACCGTCCGAGGACTGATTCCCGTGATATGAAACGGCATCTTGTTTCTGTACCATAGAGTCCGGTACCTGTCCTTCATTAACGAGAACTTGCGAGACAGCGATTTGCCAAGATGGACAGCAGCACATGTGCTAGAGCATTATGTCATCAGTCGCTGAGGGCGAGCTGTAAACAAAGCAGCGCGGTTAAAAGAAAGCCTCTAAAGTTTGGATCTACTTCACTAAATGCGATGAGTGACTGTGGGGTGATGACAACATTGGCAACAATCTAAGTGAGACATCGTCATTAGGGATGAGCCGGATACTCGTTTCAGACGAGTATCCCGTACGGATAAAGCGTTTTTGACGAGTACGAGCATGAAACGAGTAAAACTCGTAAATATCTGTAATCGTGCTGTAGGAAAATCCTCATTGGGTAACTGACTGTCTTCACGCTCTGTGATTGGCCAGTCACATAGAGCGCCCGCCCCTCCATACACACAAAACTCTCTAGCCGGCCGGGAGAGCAGTCCGTCCGGCTCATCCACGCACACACACACAGACAGTAACGGATCTCGCTGTGCTTGCTTCACTGGTGCTCACGTTTCTTCAGTTTTCCCTAGGTTTTCTTCAGCTCGCCTCTTTTTCAGTTGAATATTTAAAGTTACTTTTTTTGTAACTTACATGGTGCATTTGACAAGACCGAGCTGACGTGCTGCATCAGTCACTCACTACCTCCGCTCCGGTCGGGTTTTTTATTTTTTTTTACTCCCTCTCTCTCCCTCTCTATCTCTCTCAGACACACACACACCTCAATCCACATTGTTTTGTTTAACTTTGTGTGGGGCAAAATGCCAAGAACATTAAGAAAAAAATCATTTTAATCAAATTAAAAATAAAAATATTTATAAAAAGTTGTGTCTGGTTCTAGCATTTCATATTTCCTAGTTCCTACTGCATGAGTTCAGATGTATTAATCCATGCACTTAAATATTAATGTTCTGATTTTATTGAAACACTTGTTCTGAAATAGTTCCTTTACTATTGTGATCAAAAATATTTCATCTCAATTCTGAGGCTGTTCTGTAAATAGTTTTCAAATAAACAATACACATATCAACAACTGTGGACCCACCACCCGCAGGAGGAACATGAAGGGTCCGGTGCAATGTGAATCGGGTGGCAGACCAAGGCGGGAGCCTTGGCGGTCCAATCCCCGGACAAGAAAACTAGTTTTTGGGACATGGAACGTCACCTCGCTGGTGGGGAAGGAGCCGGAGCTTGTGGCAGAGGTTGAGCGGTACCGGCTAGATATAGTCGGACTCACCTCGACACATTGCATTGGCTCTGGAACCCGAGACCTGGAGAGGGGTTGGACACTCTACTTTGCTGGAGTTGCTCCGGGTGAGAGGCGGAGGGCTGGGGTTGGCTTTTTGTTAGCCCCGAGATTCTCTGCCTGTGTGTTGGGGTTTACCCCGGGGGACAAGAGGGTAGCTTCCTTGCGCCTTCGGGTCGGGGAACGGGTCCTGACTGTTGTTTGTGCTTATGGGCCAAATATCAGTTCAGAGTACCCACCCTTTTTGGAGTCCCTGGGACGAGTGCTAGATAGTGCTCCATCAGGGGACTCCATTGTCCTGCTGGGGGACTTCAATGCTCACGTGGGCAATGACAGCTTGACCTGGAGGGGTGTGATTGGGAGGAACGGCCCACCTGATCAGAACTCGAGCGGTGTTTTGTTATTGGACTTCTGTGCAAGCCGCAGTTTGGCCATAACGAACACCATGTTCGAACATAAGGATGCCCACCGGTACACTTGGTACCAGGGCAGCCTAGGTCACAGGTCGATGATAGATTTTGTAGTCGTATCATCTGACCTGCGGCCGTATGTTTTGGACACCCGAGTGAAGAGAGGGGCGGAGCTGTCAACTGATCACCACCTGGTGGTGAGTTGGATCAGATGGCAAGGGAACATGCCGCGTAGACCTGGCAGACCCAAACGCATAGTGAGGGTCTGCTGGGAACGCCTGGCAGAAGAACCTGTCAAGACGGTCTTCAACTCCCACCTCCGGCAGAGCTTTGACCACGTCCCGAGAGCAGTGGGGGACATTGAGTCCGAGTGGGCCTTGTTCCACTCTGCGATTGTCGAGGCGGCTGTTGCTAGCTGTGGTCGTAAGGTGGCCGGTGCCAGTCGTGGTGGCAACCCCCGTACCCGCTGGTGGACACCAGAGGTTCGGGGAGCCGTCAGGCTGAAGAAGGAGGCCTACAGGGCGTGGCTGGTCTGTGGGTCTCCGGAGGCAGCAGACAGGTACCGGATAGCCAAGCGGGGTGCAGCAGTGGCAGTTGCCGAGGCAAAATCTCGGGCGTGGGAGGAGTTTGGTGAGGCCATGGAGAAAGACTATCGATCGGCTCCAAAGAGGTTCTGGCAAACTGTCCGGCGCCTCAGGAGAGGAAGGCAGCAACTCGCTCACACTGTTTACAGTGGGGATGGGGAGCTGCTGACGTCAACTGAGGCTATAGTCGGACGGTGGAAGGAATACTTTGAGGAGCTCCTCAATCCCACCAATGCGCATTCCGAGGAGGAACCAGAGCTGGGAGGCCTGGGGATGGACTGTCCGATCTCGGGGGCAGAAGTTGCTGAGGTAGTCAAACAACTACACAGCGGCGGAGCCCCGGGGGCGGATGAGGTTCGTCCTGGGTATCTCAAGGCTATGGATGTTGTAGGGCTGTCATGGTTGACACGTCTCTACAACATTGCGTGGTCATCGGGGGCAGTTCCTAGGGAGTGGCAGACCGGGGTTGTGGTCCCCATCTTTAAGAAGGGTGACCTGAGGGTGTGTTCCAACTATAGGGGGATCACACTCCTCAGCCTCCCTGGAAAGGTCTACGCCAAGGTACTGGAGAGGAGGGTCCGATCGATAGTTGAATCTCAGATAGAGGAGGAGCAATGTGGTTTTCGTCCTGGCCGTGGAACTGTGGACCAGCTCTATACCCTTGCAAGGGTGATGGAGGGGGCATGGGAGTTTGCCCAACCAATCCACATGTGCTTTGTGGATTTGGAGAAGGCTTATGACCGTGTCCCCAGGGGCACCCTGTGGGGGACGCTCCAGGAGTATGGGGTGGGTGGCTTTCTGTTAAGGGCCATTCAGTCCCTTTACAAGAGGAGCGTGAGTTTGGTCCGCATAGCCGGTAGTAAGTCGGACCTGTTCCCAGTGAGGGTTGGACTCCGCCAGGGCTGCCCTTTGTCACCGGTTCTGTTCATCACTTTTATGGACAGAATTTCTAGACGCAGCCGTGGTGTGGAGTGTGTCGAGTTTGGTGGCAGGAGAATCTCGTCTCTGCTTTTTGCGGATGATGTGGTCCTCCTAGCTTCATCCAGCTCTGACCTTCAGCTCTTGCTGGGTAGGTTCGCGGCCGAATGTGAAGCGGCTGGGATGAGGATCAGCACCTCCAAATCTGAGACCATGGTTCTCGACCGGAAAAGGGTGGCTTGCCACCTCCGGGTCGGGGGAGAGGTCCTACCTCAAGTGGAGGAGTTTAAGTATCTCGGGGTCTTGTTCACGAGTGAGGGTAGGAGGGATCGGGAGATCGACAGGCGGATTGGTTCGGCGTCTGCAGTGATGCGGACGCTGAGCCGATCTGTCGTGGGGAAGAGGGAGCTGAGCCAGAAAGCCAGGCTCTCGATTTACCGGTCGATCTACGTCCCAATCCTCACCTATGGTCATGAGCTTTGGGTAATGACCGAAAGAACGAGATCGCGGATACAAGCGGCCGAAATGAGTTTCCTCCGTAGGGTGGCCGGGCTCAGCCTTAGAGATAGGGTGAGGAGCTCGGACATTCGGGAGGGACTCGGAGTAGAACCGCTGCTCCTCCGGATCGAAAGGAGCCAGTTGAGGTGGTTTGGGCATCTGGTCAGGATGCCTCCTGGACGCCTCCCCGGGGAGGTGTTTCGGGCATGTCCTGCCGGCAGAAGGCCCCCGGGTCGACCCAGGACACGTTGGAGAAGTTACATCTCCAATCTGGTCCGGGAACGCCTTGGGGTCCTGCCGGAGGAGCTGGTGGACAAGGCCGGGGAGAGGACGGCCTGGAGCTCCCTAGTTGGGATGCTGCCCCCGCGACCCGGACCCGGATAAGCGGAGGAAGACGACGACGACGACATATCAACTTCTGATCAATCCATATCAATTTCAGACTTAAACTAATATATTGATGTAAACCACACTCACTTCCGGTTAAACCACGCCCACTTCCTGGTTATGCCACGCCCATTCCGAGTACAGATACAGATAATTTAGTTGATTGAACAGATACAGATACAGATAGTGGTGTACTCGCTCATCCCTAATCGTCATCTTAATCTGCTCCAGCAGGTAAATAAACTGTTAATGTTAGCTTGATGCTTTAGCCTCCATTGCTATCATCTAGTGGTGCGTTCGCTTTCTCCTCAGTACTCGGAAATTCCGACTTCCGAGTAGGAAAAATCAGCTGAAAAATAACGGCAAAAGGAGTGAAGATAAACAGTAAATTTGGTTCAGAGCAAAGATGTTTGCTTCAGTTTAGTTTAGCAGTTTATAATTCTACAAGGCCCCGCCCACCACACCATTGCTCCAGAGGGGAGGAGAGGAAAAGGAATACATGGAGCTGGGTTTTAGTTTGTGAAACACCACAATGTTAAAATACAAACAGTTGTGTGGTATTGAAGTTTGTTTTAGTTTCATTTGTAAGTATCATCATGGTCCCCTCATCAGAGTTATTCCAGAGGGCGTAGAAGACACGGAGGAGCTGAGAACCTGATGTCCTCTCTCTGTCTGTCTCCGTCTTCTGAGCTGACGACAATACTGGGACATGTGGCTGACATGTCTCGGTCTTTGTCTCTTCTCAGAGGAACAGAAACTTGTTAACAGAAGGTAAACAAAGGCTTTGCTACTCTGAGAGCAGGGACACGTAGAAAACATGCAGCCACTGAGGCCTTCAAGGACCAGGTCTGCTCCCCTTGTTAATGTTCAAAGTTACTGGTACTTTCATTTGCTGCAGGTTCACTTGCTGGGGAGGGTGTGTGTGTGTGTGTGTGGGGGCGGGGGGGTGTGCTTCTAACCTTTTTGACCCTTGACCCGTTTTCATGTCTGACAACACTACCATGATAAAACAGCAGTATGTTATATAAACATTGTATTTATCATATATGGTTTTATATTGAGAAACAATTAAATTAAGATTAAATTAATTATTAAAAAAGTATCACATTGGTACCGGTATGGAGTCCTGGGGACCGGAAATAAGTACAAAATCGATTCAAATGTGAAAGACACCCATCCCTACCTGTGACCCTAGGATGAAGCGGTTTGAACGTTGGATGGATTACTGACCCTGTAGGAATCAGCGGTTTAGATCTGTTGTGGGTCAAAGGCCTGGTGGTGATGGTGTGATCTGTTCCTGATTAGTTCCTGTACAACAACAACACGCGGCAACAGACGGAGGCCAGAGATGACCTCCACTGTCCCTGGTGTACCCTGAACTGCAGCAAACTCTACAGCCTGCTGAAACACCTCAAACTCTCACACTCACGCTTCATCTTCAACTATGTGGTAAGTGTGTGTGTTCTATTTAATGCAGCTCAGTAAATGTGTGTAAAACCACATTAGATGTTATGTTTTATTATATTCTGCATCTCTTTTCCTGTGGACTATGTTTCTGTAAGCAGTATGAAAACCAACAGTAGCTGTCCCGTCAATGTTTCCCCGTCCACGTGCGCAGCTGTGTGGATCCTTCTTTACCTGCTGTAGCAGGCTGCTGCCACTAGAGGGCAGTGTCAGAATGATGTGAAAATCCCTGAAACACTCCTTGCTCTTCATTTGCATTTTGTTTTTTGATATTTTTGTTTCTTAATATGCGAAATACAGTAACAACAATACAGCCGATGTCTTCTTTTCTTTTCTTACTCGGATTTGCTGAGCTGTGAGGAGTCTCTGTCTGGCTCAAACTAGGGATGGGTACAGAATTCTGTACTTTTTAAGGTACCGACCGAATTCCATAGTACTGACAGAGCACCGATTCACATCATTTCAAACGGTGCCTCGTTTCGGTACCCGTCCTTCATAACGAGAACTTGCCTAGACAGCTGCGCATGCGCAAGAGCGTTATGTCGTCGGTCGCTGCGAGCGAGTTGTAAACAGAGCAGCATGGTAGAAAGAACGCACGCTAAAGCTTGGGTCCACTTCACTAAATGTGATGGGTAACTGGGTGATGATGAAACCAGCGACAACGATCTAAGTGAGACATCCTCATCTTAATCTGCTCCTGTAGGTAAATAAAATGTTTAAGATAACGTTAGCTTGATATGTTAGCTTCCATTTCGCTAATGGTGCGTTCGCTTTCTCCTCGGAACTCCGAATTTCCGACTAGAAGAACATGAAAAGTTTGGCTTCACTTTACTAAATGCGACGGGTGATTGGGTGAAGATGAAACCAGCGACAACGATCTAAGTGTGAGGCATCATCGTTTTAATCTGCTCCAGCAGCTAAATAAACTGTTTAAGATAACGTTAGCTTGATATGTTAGCTTCCATTGCTACCATTGTTATCAGCTAATGGTGCGTTCGCTTTCTCCTCGGAAATTCTAACTTCCCAGTAGGAAAAATCAAATGAAAAAGGACGGCAAAAGGAATGAAGATACACAGTAAATTTAGTTCACAGTAAAGATGTTTGCTTCAGTTTAATTATCAGCTTATAAAACTACAAGGACGATGTTAAAATACAAACAGTTGAATGTTATTTATCGTGATATTTATCAAATATGGTTATATATTGAGAAAAATATATGTTTTTATTATAAAAGAGAATTAAAATAATAAACACTCAAAAGTATCGAAAATTGGTACCGTTAAGTACCGGTATCGATTCCTAGGTACCGGCAATTAGTACCGGATCGATTCAAATGTCAAAGGTACCCATCCCTAGCTCAAACTGACTTTACAGCATTGAACTGTTGATTTTATCCTGCGACGATTCCTAATGTCCTGATCTTTTCTCCAGCCTCACCCCAAAGGAGCGAGAATAGACGTGTCTATCAATGAGTGCTACGACGGCTCTTACGTGGGAAACCCTCAGGACATCCACAGCCAGCCCGGCTTTGCGTTCAGCCGCAACGGCCCCGTGAAGAGGACTGCCGTCACCCACGTACTGGTTTCCAGGTAAACACCAGCAGGGAAACGGCTGTTTCTGTGGTCAAAGGTTATGTGTGCACAACTGAGCAACCAGTGAAAAATAATAATCCACTCATGAAACAGAAACCAGCTGAGTAAAACACCATAAACGACACATTATTTGTTTTAATCATGATACATATTGAATTTGAACCTTTATGGTCCCGTTTTCCACTAATAGTCCACGTTCTGTTTTCTGTTTCGTTCAAGGCCCAAGAGGACCAAACCAAGCCTGTCCGAGTTCCTGGAGTCTGAGGACGGCGAGCTAGAGCAGCAGAGGACGTACGTCAGCGGACACAACCGCCTGTACTTCCACAGTGACAGCTGCATGCCCCTGCGGCCTCAGGAGATGGAGGTGGACAGCGAGGACGAGAGGGATCCAGAGTGGCTCAGAGAGAAGACGGCTACGGTGAGACGCTGCTTCTCCTTCAGTCCTCCTGTGACCTGCTTCACGCGGGCTTTGTGCCGTTTATGAGATGAGATAACTAGTAAAATGCAGCAGCTGCTTCATCTGCTTTCACCTGCTTGGTAATCAGCTGCTAAAAAGTGCCAAATCGCTGCGTCATGCATTTGTTGACATACAGGATGTTCAGTTCATAAAAGTGTTTTATACTCGCAGCAATTGGACGAGTTCACAGATGTGAACGAAGGAGAGAAGGAGGTGATGAAGCTGTGGAACCTTCATGTCATGAGTAACGGGTCAGTTTAAAGTCCTCCATCTTGTTTCTGACATTTAAAAAACAACATCTGGAGTAATGCCGTTTCAGTGTATTGTCATCCTGCTCTCGTGTTTATGTGGGAGTGAAGTTTAGGCTTTTATTTTGAAATAACTAATGAGAGGTGCAGCATAACGTGTCTAAAAATGGACAATAAATATTTCCCACCCGTTCTGCTCTTTAACCTGCAGCTTTATATCAGACAACCAGATGAAGCAGGCCATCATGCTTTTTGTGGAAAACGACGGCGCTCACATCATTCGCCGCAACCTCTGCCGCAACTTCCTCCTGCACCTGGTGAGCATGCACGACTTCAACCTGGTGAGCACGGCCACCATCGACTGCGTCATGGGACGCCTGCGAGAGATCCAGGACGAGCTGCCGGACGTGGAGGAGGACCAGCCGGATCAGACTGCGGGATCGGCAGCAGCGTGCAACGGCGGCGCCGTCGCATCCAGCGGGGCGAAGCAAGGCAAGAGGACAAAAAGCGCGTTGATGGACTGACGTGAGGCGGTGGGATGGGAGCGGTGATCAGTGCGGTTGTTAGTTTTCTCCTTACTGGTGCTTAGGTAGGTGGAGCGACTGGGAGCTGACCAGTACACAAGCTGAACTGGTTTCTAAAAACACGCAGAGCAAGCCAAATATGAACAATAATCAGAACACACACTCAGATCAGGAGTCTGGGGAATGGATGATGGAAGTAATCCCACCTTCACGCATTTCACCGAAGCCGCTGGAGTGGGCGGATGAGCAGGGTGGATCCTGATGTGGCTGGACTAACCAACAGCTTGTTGCTATTGGCGACCGTAAGAGGACCACAGTTAAAACTGTCTCTGTCCAGTTTGTTCACCGATTAATCAAGTTTGAGACTCTTAGCTGATTATTTTAGCACTTCTTCTGGTATCTAGAATGTTTTTAAAGGAGAATTGTGTCGCGTCCTACATCGAGAAGTTCTACTTTGAAATGTGAGGCGTTTAATTTAAAGAGCCGTGCAGGAGAGGGGAGTCATGTATGTATGTATAAACCCAGAGTGATCAGCGGTCACAGCTGTAGTGCTTTCGAGTCTTCATCCTGGACCGGAGGGGAAACCCAGGTCACTCCCTAACCCGTCTGCATCGACGCGACTTCGAATCAAACACCAGGGGAATGATTTGACTTGTCCTAAAACCAGCAGCACATCTCTCTGGTAGGATGATAATTAAAGGCAGCAGCTTCTTTTTAAAGGAAAAGTTTGTTTTTTTAAAGAGTTATCAGTATTAATAGGTGAAAAAAATAAATGTGTATTCATGTAATCACATTAACTGTTTAGGTGTTAAGTAACCAACTAGTCTGTTTATTAGACATGGGTTCAGGTCAGATCTCTGTTTCATGCCAAAGGGGAGTCTTCACCAATCTCTTAGCTGTCTGCATCTCTTTGTTCCTCCATAACTGTTTTTGTTTGTTTTCTCCGTAGTCGGGTTTTATTGTTCAAATACAAACTGGTTTGAAACCGATTCCCTTAGTTTACGACTGCATTACCAGTACAGGTTTCCTCTCTTCACTGGTTTTAATGAGGTTAAAGGGAGACATCATCAACATTATTGTCAACATTTGTGAAGTACACAAACGCAAATGAGGTGTTTTTTATATTTAAAGAAATAAAATACACTTTCCCTTATTGAAGCCTGTTATTTCTTGGGAACCAGAGTTGTTGATTATTCTTACTAACTCATCACTGCCGGTTTTACTGTTCAGTAGCATGGGTTAAGAATTTACGTGGTTTCATTATAAACTACTCGGAACTTCTGTCTTCAGACTGAGAAAATAAACCAAACTACATCAGAAAGTCAGATTTCCTGGTCAGAACCGTGGCTGAAGGATTTCAAACGTCACTTCAGCCCTTTGCACAATAATTACAAAACATGGGTAATTTTTTGTTTTGTTTTTTTTGTACGAGAGTGATGCTACATAGGTTTTGTAATGTGGACAACAAAAAGGAGATGACTAGATTTTAGGAGAAACTGGAATACCATCCATTCTTCCACTTATCCAGAGTCGGGTTGCGAGGGCAGCAGCAGCAGCAGGGAGGTCCAGACTTCCTTCTCCCCAGCCACTTGGGCCAGTTCCTCCGAGAGAATCCCAAGGCGCTCCTTGGCCAGCTGAGAGACGTCGTCCCATCAGCATGTCTTGGGTCTTAATTTGGGTCTCCTCCCAAATTGGACTTGCCCTGAAAACCTCACCAGGGAGGCGTCTAGGTGGCATCCTAACTAGATGCCCAAGCCGCCTCAGCTGACTCCTCCATGTGGAGGAGCAGCAGATCTACTTTGAGCCCCTCCCAGATGACCAAGCTTCTCACCCCATCAGAGAGCCCAGCCACCCTGTGGAGAAAACTCATTTCGGCCACTTGTATTTCATTCTTTCGGTCACTACCCAAAGCTTGTGACCACGGGAGAGTTGGAACACAGATCGACTGGTAAATCGAGAACTTCCGGCTCAGCTCTCTTTTCACCATGACAGATTGGTACAACGCCCGCATTGCAGATCCACCATCAACTCATCTATTGATCTCCCAATCCAGCTTTCCCCTCACTCGTGAACAAGACCCCGAGATACAACTCCTCCACTTGGTATAGGACCTCATCCCTGAGAGGCCATTCTACCCTTTTCCAACTCAAGACCATGGTCTTGGATTTAGAAGAGTTGATGATCATCCCAGCTGCTTCACACTTGGCTGCAAGTTGCTCCAGCTAAAGCCTGAGATCAAGTTCTGATGAAGCCAACAGGACCACATCATCTACAAAAAGCAGAGATCTAACCCATAGGCCACCAAATCAGATCCTCTCACCACCTTGGCTGCACCTAGAAATCCTGTCCATAAAAGTTATGAACATAATCAGTGACAAAGGGCAGCTTTGGCGGAGTCCAACTGTTGAGAAGAGACCCATCACAGGCCCGTTGACAACATGACTCAGGCCTGGGCCGGTCTCTCCTCTCTGTGTGTAAACCTCTGACCTCCTGCCATTACACTCTTGGACACAGGACTCAGCTCAGCTCCTCTCGGTGTGTGTGTGTGTGTGTGTGTGTGTGTGTGTGTGTGTGTGTGTGTGTGTGTGTGTGTGTGTGTGTGTGTGTGTGTGTGTGTGCGTGCGTGCGTGCGTGCGTGCGTGCGCTGGTGAACCGCCTCCTCTGTCCAAGACTCCGACCGGACTCAGTGGCACCTGTACGTGCGCCGCACATGTGGAGGGAGGGACACCCACGCTCCTCCGCACTCAACCGCCGTCCATCCTCCAGGACTGTACTCTGGGTGCCCCTCTGTTCTGGCGGGGGGGGGGGGGGTTCAGGCACATGTCATAGACTGTACATGTGTCCTCAAGACACCGTCCGGGTGTGTCTCTGCCCCTTAGCTCGCCCTGTCTGCCATCCTGGCTCTCTCTCTCTCTGTGTGTGTCCCTCTGGTCCATGCGTTCCTCCCTTTAAATAAAGCCTGTCCTGCCTGTGTCTGTCCATTAATTGGCAGTCCAGGCAGCACTCTGCCACAGGTGTAGATGATGGAGGTGATTACAGAATGAACACACAATGTTGCACCAAACAACTAAAAACACACCATCAATAAAAACGTGCGCATCAGAATAAAAACAAGTAAAACATGCAATGTCAAATATAACATTAGTGCAACATCACCACTCTGTGACAAATACATGTCAGATCTCCGTCTTCTATATACGCCCAGCAGGGCTCCGAGGTCCTCAGGCAACAGTCAGCTGGTAGAACCCCGGACCAAACAGGGTGAAGCTGCTTTTAGCTGCTATGCTACACACAGACAGAATCAGCTTCCTCGTGAACTCAAATGTGCCCCAACTCTAGAAACTTTTAAATCTTTGATTAAATGTTTATATGCTGCACCTGCTGCACTGCATTTGCTCACCCTTTAACTGTATTTCTTTTTAATTTTTAAGTTGTATTTTCTGTCACATAGATTTTAATGTTCTTGCTAATGGAAAGCACATCGAATTGCATCTGTGTTTGAAATGTTCTAAATAAATAAAGCTGCCTAGCCTTGCCTTGCCTGCCATTTCTACACACACACACACACACACACACACACACACACACACACACACACACACACACACACACACACACACATACAATGTGCAGAGAACAGCTGTGTAGCTGTAAGAAAACCACTAATCAGTAGACGTGTCTGAAAAAAGGCTTCAATTTGCTAGGGAGCATAAAGATTGGACTCTGGAGCAATGGAAGAAGGTCATGTGGTCTCATGAGTTCAGACGGACCCTGTTCCAGAGTGATGGTGCGTCACGGTAAGAAGAGAGGCAGATGAAGCGATGCACCCATCATGCCTAGTGCCTGTGGGGGCAGTACTATGATCTGGGGTTTCAGCTGTAACGTCCAGAAATGGTCAGTTTTCACCTACAGATTGGCCTACATGCCACCGGTCATCTACAGACATAAATTCTATTCTCTAAGGTGGATTTTACGTTCTACCTTCCAACAAGCCCAGTAGGTTCTGCAGCTCTGAACGCACGATAACATATTGTCAACAAACTGTTCCCGTTTCAAGGCCTAAGCTTCCCTCATCGCTTCTACAGGATTCCTTATGCCTCTGAATAAAGTGAACGTTTTCAGCTCATATGAGTTAATCAATCAATCATGAAATGAACAATATGGTTAAATGAAATGTTTTGATTAATCTGTGCTTAAATTACTGTGGTTGAAATGAATATTATTATGGTATGATCAGTAATTTTAGATGTAACAAGTGAATCATTATCTACACTCATACACAATGTTCATAAGATTTAAGTTAAAGTAACGTCACCGCACAGCCACAAATCAGAGCATCCTGTATCTGAAAGAAGGCGTGATGTTCGGAGGGTTTGTTGTTAACACCCCTTAACATGGCACATCCCGATTGGCCAAGTAATCATAATATGAGAATATTAAAACAGAATCACTGGGGAGTGATTCATCATTCCAGTGTTCCAGCATTCTGTGAGATTCAGCATTCTGTTGAGCTAACTGAACATCGGAGGAAAACTCTTTAGCCACCGCTTCTCTTGACAAGCTTTTGACAAGCTAAAAGCTGCCTACAGCTGACACAGCGAAACGGTTCCTTCAACTACTCAGAAACAGCTGCTCTAGACGCAAACCAGCCCCAACCTGTGTGCCCGGTGACATCTCTGGACTGGAGAGTCGGTGCTGCGGTTAATCTACTGAACCTCGGTGCCCAGAGGTCATCTGACCTCCCTGACCTCCGGATCCGCGAAGAGGGTTAGAAGAGGGTCTCCAAAGAATGGGTGAGGTAGACACAGCATGATTGTGTCTGATGATAAGAACCAACTTTGTAGTTTAATGCAAACCAAAATCTTGTTCACACCCAGAACTCAGTCCTTCCAGATACAAGGTTCTGATAAACACACACCATTCAATCACCATACATCGCATCCCATCCACTTAGATTCATCCATCACAGTTGTCGTAGTTTACTTGTCCTGTTTTTAATTTGTTTAGAAAATAAATTTCTTACCTTTTATAAAGCTGACTGTCTGAATTGACACGAAGTGTGTTTGATCCCTGAAAACGCAAAGAATCCTAGAATCTTCTGATTAAATATACTAAGACTAATAAGGTTGTTGTCCTATTTATATAGAATATCAAAGCTTATTAAGTAAAGGTAGTATGTTAAGCTTAAAAGCAACTATATTTACCCCCTACACTGCAGTTGGTCGGGTCTAAGTTCAGCAACAGGATGTGCTCCAAGAATGAGGTCAGCTGACTATCTGAAGATACTGAATGACCAGGTTATTCCATCAATGGATGTTTTCTTCCCTGAAGGCATAGGCATGTTCAAAGATGACAATGCCAGGATTCATCAGGCTCAGACAATGAAAGCGATTCACAGAGACGAGACATCATTTTCACACATGGATTTGCCTCCACAGAGTCCAGACCTTAACCGACTTAAGTCAACTAATTTTTTGGCCATGTTGTGTACATTTAGGGGTGGTGGTGGCAGAGATACTAAGTGCCTGCTCCGTAACCAGAGGGTTGCAGGTTTTTGAGCCCTGCTCAGTCTGCCGCGTAACCCCCCTTGCTTGCTGGTGGTGGTTGGACGGACAGGTGGTGCCTGTGTTCAGCAGCCTCACTTCTGTCAGCGCAACCAAGGCAGTTGTAGCTTCAGTTAGGGGTTCTAGGAATCTAGAAGCAACTATGAAGGCCATTTACAATTTGAATCCTACATCTGCAAATTGGGTGATGCTAAAATGTAAAATACTGTTTCTATTTGAGCTACTGCAACTTTAAATAAGCTTTCAAAAATCTTAATGCTTGTTTTATGTTTAGAGTCGCCACATACTCTCTTTTTAGATTGTCTGTTGTTGTTTTTTAAGTGCTGTGTATGTGATGAGTGGGGGGCTGCCCAGTGACTGCCCAGGTCCCACCAGTGCCAGGGGGCCACTCATGCTCAGCAGCCAACAGTCAACACAAGTCAGCAAGCCCAGAGGACAAACCCACGTCTGGGGGGTCAGTTAGATGGCAACAGGACACCAGCCCCCAGCTGGAGGGGACCCATGTGGGTCCGCAAAGCCCATAGACCCCAGCTCAGCACACCATTGCCTGCAGGCCAGCCAAAAGTGAGGTGACCCCTGACCCCAAGAA